CTCCAGGAGCAGGAGCCTCCTGAGCGCCAGCCCCCAGAGTCAGTCTGGTGAAACGGGTGAAGAAGGTGTGATTGGTGTAGAGGTAAACACCTCAGGAGCAAGCCTGGTGTCCAGCGTGCCTGTACGCTGTTAATTATAACCTTGCCTTGTAGCACTAATTATGACAGTGTTTCGAAGTGTTTTCCTGGATGCTGGTTGGCTTGGGGGAGCTCTTATTTGCAGCCTGTAGGGAAGTATCGTGTGTTACCTATAGGGAAGTACAGTGTGTTACCTGTGCATTACCTGGGCACAACAAAGGCTCTAGTATCAGGGGAAGCTGGCAAGCACTTTGGTTTGCATTTTGGAACAAGCCTTTAGCCCCTGTACCTGACCCCTGGATTGCCCATGTGCCTAGCTATTTATTAGACTCCAATTCTTCTGTCAGCTAAATATCTGTGTAGTTATCCTTTGTGCATCAATTCACAAGTGAATTTATGTGGAAGTTTGATGTGTGAGAGCTTGCATTTCCTAAATGTGGATGGGGAAATGGTATAGGGATGTATGGAAAGCATATGTTGTGCTTAGGTGTGACAAGCAAACTCCTTGAACAATGCGTGCTCTAATTCACTGCATTTCTCTGTGCTTTCATTTAAAAGTGCTTTCAGGCAAAGTGTTGGTACCTTAGTGATAGCTGATACTTTCCAAATCCTTCAAAATATTGTGCAAACCTTTAAGAGAAGGGCCCCAATGAGGCTTTGGCGGTTTTGGGTCAGGGATGAATGTGCCTATGCATGCGCATATTCTAGCCCCAGCAACCTGTCTCTGGAGATTTATGTTATGACATATATTATAATCCACATTATTAAAGAGCAGGGAACAAGATCAATATTAGAGATATCATGGTACTCTAGTGGTCAACAGCTGACCACTAAGGTAAATTTAGGACCACTGATACAGTTTAAGTATGTCACCCTTCATGCTGGGTTGGGGGTTTAAAAAAAAAAAAAAAAAAAAAGGAGCATGAGTTGCTGTGTTTGTCCATAAATGAGAAATGAGGAAGCAGCCTCATTACTGGGAGCACAGTAACTGACTTGAGAATACAACTGGAGGGTGCACCTCTAAAAAGCTAATGCTCTTTGCTTGACTTGCTTTTTCTGGTTTGCCTTAGATCCTAGTTACAGCATCACTGGTCTTGTTTTTTGTTTGTTTATTTTCTGCAGAAGATGGGCAACTTTCAATGTGATTTTTTTTCCCAATAAGCTTTATCTGTCCATGCTGTAGTTGTTTAAATACAGCCCACCAAGGTTACGTGCAGAGTGCTGGCACCAAGAGCCAACTTCTGGTAGTGCTTCACCTAAAACGTGCTGTGTGAGCCAGCTCTTAGCTGCTTGAGCTGCAGCATTTGGCCTCCTGGCGAGCCTGGCGCTGCCTTGGCTGCTGCTTGATTCCCAGGCTGTAACGTGTAGGCCTTGCAGTGTTTGAGAGGAGTCTGGGAAGCTTTGGGTTTATGATTCCAAATCATAGAATCATTAAGGTTGGAAGGGACCTTTGGAGATCATCTAGTCCAACGCCCCTGCTGTGAATGTTTCAAATTTCTCAAATTTGTTTTGGGTGGGAAAGGTCTAATAATACCATTTTCTTCTCATTCTCCTGCTTGATCTCTTGCACAATTAATTAATTTGGGTCATCCTGGCATTTCCAATGCAAAGCTGTGTTAGGGCACAGTTAGGTCTGCTTTGAGGTTTTGCTGAAAGGTACGTTATGGGGTTACCTTCATGGTATGATTCTTCATGGTATACTCAGAGCAGCCCAGATGAGCCTTATTTTTAGCTGGTGTGTATTCTGTCTTTTGTAATGTGGTTCTGTCACTTGCATGTGATTGTGGCTGGGGCTCTGCTGTGTTCTGGTGTGGTGGGTAGTAGAACGCAAAGCCTTGTGCTGTGCAGCCCACGCTCGACGCTGCAGAGCACGCGCACGTGCTTCAGAGCAAGGAATCATTTAAGTGTTTCTCAAGGCAAAAAAAGCACTGATTCTCCACCAGCTCTTGTGATGGGTTCATCTCTTTCTCACCCTGTCTGTTCAAGATACTGTAAGGGTGGCCAAATTTCAGCCCAAGCATCAGGGATGGGAGAAGGGTTGTGCTTAATGATAGTTCACTTCTGTTTTATGTAAAAGTGTGAGTTCAGTTTCCCCTTTTACCTCTTTCATCTTTTTTTTTTTTTTAATGTGTCGGCATATTTTTCTTGACAAAAAGTTAACATCCTGAAGTTGCCAGTAGGTTCTTCATTTGCTGTTTATGACTCTTTTCTGAAATACTAATGGTTGTACTCAAGTGTGCAAGTAGTTTTTAGTCTGAGACCGTTTAGTTAAGTTTAAGCAGATGTCAGCTGTGGTACTGTAATGCATAACTTTGAAAGCAAATGATGAAAGCTTTGTACTGTTGTACTATATGATAATATTTTAATTTTTGTTTTAGAGTCAATACAGAAATCTACCATAAACTCAGCCTTTAACCAATAATGGAGCTGGCTCATAGTTTGTTACTGAATGAGGAGGCATTAGCTCAAATCACAGAAGCAAAGAGACCAGTCTTTATCTTTGAGTGGTTAAGATTTTTGGACAAAGTGCTCGTAGCAGCTAACAAGGTATTTTTTTTTCTTTTTTTCTAAAGCACTTAATGCTAGATAAAGATAATGAGTAATGTGCAAGTGATAAGTTATGATTCCAGTCTCAGCCTGCAGAGCTGTTTATTTGTAGCTTTTAGTGTCTAATTATAGGCACTCAATATGGCTCTTGTAAAGCACTTAGTTTAGTCTGAGTTTTTCAGTGTCATATGTCAACGTTTGGGAGGCAAAACCTTTCCCAGTGCAGGGATTCATAAAATGGTGAAGGGGATGAGAAGATGCTTTTTAATTAAAAAAAAAAAAAAAAAGTAAAAAATATAGTAACAGCTGATACTGATTGTTTAGCATCTGTCTCTGCTGACATTAAGTGTATCTCAAAACAATTTGTTCAGTTACATATAGGTGGAGGAGTATCAGTTTTACCTCAGACTCATGTAGATTGCTGCTGCTGGCTGTTTTTGGAGACAAGACGCGGGATTAGATGACCTCTCATTAATTTTTCTCTGTGTAACAGACAGATGTCAAGGAAAAACAAAAGAAACTTGTCGAGCAGCTAACAGGCCTCATCAGCAGTTCCCCTGGGCCGCCTACTCGGAATCTACTTGCGAAGAATCTCGCTGCTCTCTACAGCATTGGAGACACGTTTACTGTTTTCCAGACGCTCGACAAATGCAATGACATCATCAAGAGCAAAGACGATACTGCTGCTTACCTGCCCACCAAGCTGTAAGCTTCACGTTATTAAGAATGAGGGAATTATTATTATTTTTTTTAAGTGTGATATGGTACTGCAGAGTACAAACAAAATCTGCTTGTGTATATCGCGTTATGTGACTTATATTTTGCATGCTTAGAATGTACATATGCCTAATGTAACAGAAGAAAGAGCAGGATTGAGGTTGGTGGCAGAATTCAAAGGCAATAGGTATGACTAGCTGAAATTGAGATGGTTTCCTCAACACAGAGTCTTGTGTCTTGTGGTTATTTATGTGTTTGTAAGATGGGGAAGATAATTGACAGTTGAGGAGGTAATGCAGTGAAGAAATTCCTCCAGTTATATTTTTACTAATGAGGCCTAAGTATCCAATTTAAGACAAGGTGGAACCTGCAGATTTTCAGAACAGGAATGTTATCTATGCCAAGAGAGAGTTCTAACTAAATGTTTCCCCCACTTATGTTCCTTTGCTGTAATGCAGTGCACAAGTTGCTTAAATATAGTCTCTATATTTGGATGTAAATATGTGTGATTCAACTTGTCTTTAGGTATGGGAGCAATTTAGTTAGTAGGAATTATAGTTAATGCCTCAAAAAAAGTCTCTGCTGAAACTATTTTTAATGCTGTCTGTCACCTACTGAATCATATATTCACAGTATGTAGTGAACCCTAACCTGAGTTTGTTCTTAATCATTGTCATAGCAATAAGATTGACAGTAAAATCTGTCAGTAAAATCACCTCTTGGGCAGAAAGTGCCCAGATTTGAAGCTGTTGTAACCCTGTGAGAAACTTGTGTAATTGGAAAGGATTTCATGCTATAGCAATTTCAGAAATTTACTCTTCTAACTTAAGTGAAAGTCCTGAAGTCTTTTGTACTGACTTCAAACTGCTGTTGTGTTTTGTTGTTGATTGCTTGGGTTTTTTTTTTGTCTTTTCTGGGGGGGCAGGGGAGTGGCAGGGGAGGTGTTCCTTTTAATTCCAGAATTGTGTTGGAGAAATGTCAGTTAAGCAGTTGGCTTTGAGTTTATAACAAATTGCTTTTTAGCTGATAGTGCTGTCAGTTGCCAATGCCAAATAATGACTCAGTTAAGATAAAATTAAATAATCGTTTAAATAGGATAGTTAAAAATATATCTATATCTATTATTCCTCATTTATATGATACAGAAAATGAGTACACTGCATATTATTTTTTTCATAGGGCTGCAGTGGCATGCGTTGGAGCATTTTATGAAAAAATGGGCAGAATGCTGGGCAGTTCTTTTCCAGAAACAGTTAATAATCTTTTAAAGTCTCTGAAAAGTGCAGAGGTAAGTTTCAACCTATTTTATGTATAGTCTTGATTTCATCACTTCCTCCAAAAGTGTGTGCCAAAATATCATGATTGTAGAATCGTGATGTAGGAAAACAGACCACTTGTGTAGCTAGTATTGAGTTAAGCATATGCATTTATTTTTACCTGAGAGAGTTTAGAGGTTTTTTCATATGAATATTATAACCGTTGCTTCATTTTGACATCAGTAATTAAAACTGTGAAATGATTATGTGCACCATTCTAACTACTCTGTTAGGATTCTCTCTCATGTTGCCTGAGTAATTTTGCAGTTATTTAAATAGCAAAAGAGTAATACTTGGGTTGTCTGAGAAAGATGTTGCTGCTTTTGCAAGCAATGCTGTTCTTTTCTGTACAGAGAGTATCATAACATTGAGAAATTGTATCATGGGCTGTCAGTGGGCTTAATTTACCTTGTTTTTACATTTTATGCCTCAGTATAGCTTACCCCAGCTTATGCCTCAGTATAGCTTACCAAACTATGACTTCTGTTCTTGGAAACACCTTTTCATCTGGAGAACTTAAAGGAATTCAGATTCTAAAGCTTAAGTGTTTTGTGGGAGTCATTTTGTTGAGCTAAAGAGTAACAACTTAAAAATTTGCTGTAGTGGGAGATGTCAGTTTGCATACTGAATTGCCTCAGTAGTAAAGCCGCATGCTCAGGAAAACTTGTGATTCAGAGTTCTGTCGATGGTGTAATTGAACTTAAAAGGCTCAGCTCCATTTTTTGGGACTTGTGACAAGTTGGAAGGAGTACTGATTTTACTGATGTTGATTCTTGTTTCTTATTGGAAATATAAATGTATATGAACTAATTAATTCACAGTAATCATACAATAATTAATATTACAGTAATCCCGTTGCTGGTGATAAAAGCAGGCACTTCTCTTGTTACAGCTAAGGAGACCACATGATCCTTAATAATTTTTCTTAGCAGTGCTGTGTACGCAGAGCAAATCTGCATTTTGCACTGAGAGCTTTTTTTCTTCAGTTGCGTCCCTACACCCCATGTATTTTCAGTGCCTCGGGGCTATAGTTACCTGCCTGTGTGCAAAGGTAGTTGACTGTTCGAGCTTCCTGTTCTTTCATATCAACTGTTCTTTTTTGTTTTGTTTTTTGTTTTGACTGTTTTTCCTGAGACTGCGGCAGATAATAGGTGGAGTAAAAGGAAGCATCTTGTCTAGGATGGATCTGTTGAATTGCCTAGCTTCATCTTCGGTTATAGGCTGCTTTAGTAAGGTTATATATAGTGCTTATCGCTATCTAAAAACAGTCACATTTGTTATATATGACTTTGGTGAAACATGTTATCTCTATTCACATATGCATGCATAGAAGCAGAAAAACATGCCTAATACTCAATAGAAGTGCTGTGTCTTATTTGCCTGTTTGTTTATTTTCTCTTCCTGCATGCAGTCTCAGGGCCGCAGTGAAATCCTGATGAGTTTACAGAAAGTCTTAAATGGTCTTGGAGGAGCAGCAGCTTCTTGTCACCGTGATACATATAAGAATGCCCGATCTCTCCTGACAGACAGATCGATGGCTGTACGATGCGCAGTAGCCAAGGTGGGTGTTTCTGACCAGCTCTAGAAATTCTTTGTGCTATGACTGTGAAGTGCCTGCATTCAAGCTTTCGCTTGTTGTTTGTTATGTGAAATCTGGTAATTATTTGGGCAAGATAAGTCCTTACTAGTTTGTACTGAAAGCTCAGACATTTGTCCAATTACTTCATGTAAGCCATAGCACAGTAGTGTTGTCTTCCCTCCTTCCTAGACAAATATGACTTAGAACATATCAACTGTGAGCCTTAGTGGGAGGAGTTTGGGGTAACGGGTAACTTTTTGTGTGTGTGTGTGTTGTTTGGTATTTTATCCATTTATTTATTTTATTTGTTAACTTAGCCCCATGATTCTTCTAAATGTTTACTCCAGCTATGTTATCTGGGTTAAATGAGGCCGGGTGGGAATGTTAACTGTTAGGAAACTTATTAACTAAATGTTTGCTGAATTATCCCATTAATTATACTGATACCTACGCAAAAGGTAAGCATGGCCTCCAGCAGTGCTCAGCAGCTCTTTGGTTTCCTACAGTGTCTCCTGGAATTACAAAATGAAGCTGTGTTCATGTGGACGGCTGAGCTGGAGAACGTTGCAACGCTGTGCTTTAAGGCCCTGGAAAATTCCAACTATGGCGTGCGAGTTGCAGTGTCAAAGCTTTTGGGGACAGTCATGGCTACAGCCCTGATACCAAAGCAAGCAACAGGTATATTCCTTTTGAATTCCTTTTTCAAATAGACAAACTGCACCCTCAGTGCTGGATTCTGTTAGTGTTGCGTGATATACTTTTGTTCCAGATCATGGAGATTTGTAGTTGAATGATTTGATTCTATTACGAATTTTAGCTCAAACCAGTGAAGTTTGCAGGTTCCCTTTTGTAGGCGTGCAAAGAAAGAGAGGGTGAACTCTGACCATCAAAAATAACTAGGGAAAGGTGGTTTATTTTTAAAACAGAAAAGAGGGAAACAAAAAGCTCTTATCTGAGATAATGACTGGATTCAAGATTGCAAGATGGCTATGGATAGTTTTGCTTTCAAGATTTTTGCTTGTACCGTTTGGAGAACTTCGAGATGAAATGATCTGTTTTTATCTTTGCCAAAGTGATGCGACAGAATGTGAGGAGAGCTACACTTGAGGAGGTCTTGGAGCTCATGGCCACCGGATTCCTGCGAGGCGGGTCTGGTTTCCTGAAGAGTGGTGGAGAGATGTTAAAAGTCGGAGGATCTGTGAATAGGGAAGTGCGAGTTGGTGTTACCCAGGTTTGTGGTGATCTGGAGAATTTTTTGTTTATGCTTCTTTTTAAAATAAAGCAGCATTTATGTATTGACTGTGACCCTTTTGGAAGGTAAGTGTAAACTTGTGCTTGTCTTGATCTTTCTTTTATGAATTAGCTTATGAAGACTTTGACTCACATTTTACATGAGATGTATGTGTCATGTCATTTGCCTAAGATTTTTTTTTTATTGATAATGTTCAGTGGTGAAACATGTTATCTCTATTCACATATGCATGCATAGAAGCAGAAAAACATGCCTAATACTCAATAGAAGTGCTGTGTCTTATTTGCCTGTTTGTTTATTTTCTCTTCCTGCATGCAGTCTCAGGGCCGCAGTGAAATCCTGATGAGTTTACAGAAAGTCTTAAATGGTCTTGGAGGAGCAGCAGCTTCTTGTCACCGTGATACATATAAGAATGCCCGATCTCTCCTGACAGACAGATCGATGGCTGTACGATGCGCAGTAGCCAAGGTGGGTGTTTCTGACCAGCTCTAGAAATTCTTTGTGCTATGACTGTGAAGTGCCTGCATTCAAGCTTTCGCTTGTTGTTTGTTATGTGAAATCTGGTAATTATTTGGGCAAGATAAGTCCTTACTAGTTTGTACTGAAAGCTCAGACATTTGTCCAATTACTTCATGTAAGCCATAGCACAGTAGTGTTGTCTTCCCTCCTAGACAAATCCCTTCCTAGACAAATATGACTTAGAACATATCAACTGTGAGCCTTAGTGGGAGGAGTTTGGGGTAACGGGTAACTTTTTTGTGTGTGTGTGTTGTTTGGTATTTTATCCATTTATTTATTTTATTTGTTAACTTAGCCCCATGATTCTTCTAAATGTTTACTCCAGCTATGTTATCTGGGTTAAATGAGGCTGGGTGGGAATGTTAACTGTTAGGAAACTTATTAACTAAATGTTTGCTGAATTATCCCATTAATTATACTGATACCTACACAAAAGGTAAGCATGACCTCCAGCAGTGCTCAGCAGCTCTTTGGTTTCCTACAGTGTCTCCTGGAATTACAAAATGAAGCTGTGTTCATGTGGACGGCTGAGCTGGAGAACGTTGCAACGCTGTGCTTTAAGGCCCTGGAAAATTCCAACTATGGCGTGCGAGTTGCAGTGTCAAAGCTTTTGGGGACAGTCATGGCTACAGCCCTGATACCAAAGCAAGCAACAGGTATATTCCTTTTGAATTCCTTTTTCAAATAGACAAACTGCACCCTCAGTGCTGGATTCTGCTAGTGTTGCATGATATACTTTTGTTCCAGATCATGGAGATTTGTAGTTGAATGATTTGATTCTATTACGAATTTTAGCTCAAACCAGTGAAGTCTGCAGGTTCCCTTTTGTAGGCGTGCAAAGAAAGAGAGGGTGAACTCTGACTATCAAAAATAACTAGGGAAAGGTGGTTTATTTTTAAAACAGAAAAGAGGGAAACAAAAAGCTCTTATCTGAGATAATGACTGGATTCAAGATTGCAAGATGGCTATGGATAGTTTTGCTTTCAAGATTTTTGCTTGTACCGTTTGGAGAACTTCGAGATGAAATGATCTGTTTTTATGTTTGCCAAAGTGATGCGACAGAATGTGAGGAGAGCTACACTTGAGGAGGTCTTGGAGCTCATGGCCACCGGATTCCTGCGAGGCGGGTCTGGTTTCCTGAAGAGTGGTGGAGAGATGTTAAAAGTCGGAGGATCTGTGAATAGGGAAGGGCGAGGTGGTGTTACCCAGGTTTGTGGTGATCTGGAGAATTTTTTGTTTATGCTTCTTTTTAAAATAAAGCAGCATTTATGTGACCCTTTTGGAAGGTAAGTGTAAACTTGTGCTTGTCTTGATCTTTCTTTTATGAATTAGCTTATGAAGACTTTGACTCACGTTTTACATGAGATGTATGTGTCATGTCATTTGCCTAAGATATTTTTTTTATTGATAATGTTCAGTACTAATACATTAAAATGTTTGCTAATGAAAGCTTATTTGACCAGTGTATTTTAGGTAGGATGAATGCCTAAAAATATTTGAAGACTTAAAATATTGAAGACTTCATCCTGCTTGGCTTCTTTAGGGTTGCTTATAGCTAGCTTGGATATCATTGTTAACCTGTTATGAATATTAGAACTATCTACCTATAATTATTTAGTCTTCGGTGACCAAATGTAGTCTTCTGTTTGTTTTAATTGGATCTGTGCATGATTTGTGTATTTGCAGGCCTATGTCGTCTTTGTTACCACATTGGGAGGTCAGTGGTTGGAGCGCAACTTTGCTACGTTTTTATCCCACGTACTCGACTTGGTCTCCCATCCCCGGGCGACGCAGACCCACGTGGAGGCCGTGTACTCCCGACGCTGCGTGTCCTTCATCCTGCGAGCGACGGTGGGCAGCTTGCTGGGGGAGAAGGCCCAGATTGCAGCTGCCAAAGATATCTGTCAAGCCATTGGGAAACAAATGAAGGCTGTGGGTGAGAACCATTTTTCTTTATCTGAGACTTGTTGAAAATTGCTGTCATTCCATAGTGTCAGTCACTTTTCCATTTTCATCCACCATGAGAAGTTAGTTATTATAAAAGGTTATATTTGAAACAGAACACAGCTGAATTTTATCAAAAAGGTGAGTTCTATTTGAAAAGTGATTATATAAAAGTGGCTTGTTATCCGGTGAAGAATTTTTCCATTGCATTGGCTTAGAAGACAAGGCGTAAGAGAGGCTTTTGCGGTTTGTTTTTGGAGAGGCTGTACTGAAAATCAGAGTGCCTTTCAACCAGCATTGAAGATCTTGTAGGCCAGATAAATGTCCTTAAGTATCCCCTGCTAATATCCATATTACTGTCTAACTGGATTTTACAAGTTAACAAAGATGTAATCTGAAGGCTGCAATACAGAAGATAAGTAATCCCTTTACAGAACCTTTGACATGTAATCACCAAGAGGGTGAGTTAATTTGAGCTAGAGATTAAGGAGGTAAACTATATTTGCATAAGTGTGTGCTTATTTCTTCTACCTTTTTAATACTTTTTATTCACAATTCTCGTTGTAAGAAGAAACTGGAAGTTTTTCAATTTTTTTTTTTTTTCCCCTCAGTAGGGAAGGGATGTTTGTGATTAGATGGGATAGAACCCCCTACAATGTTACAGAGCCCTATAAGCACTGCTTTCAGGAAAAAAAGTCTATTGGAAGTTGTATTTCTCAGCTGAAAGAGTTGCAGAAATACCTCCTTCTGCTATTTCCTTAATAAGTTACAGGAAACATATATTCAGATGATGGAGGAACTGCTAAGTGTGTGGAGCGTGTTTTTTTTTTTTCCCCTCCCCCTAAGAATTTCTGATTAATTTGATTTTTTCACAAAAATGGACCTCTTGCTAGCTTTGTAGTGGATCAGATGTTAAGCCTTTTATTATTTAAAACGACACTTACAGCTTTTCCCCTACCCTGCTTCTGGGACATAGTGTAGGAGAAGGAACGTAGAGTGGAATCAGTGAAATTAATTAGGTAACTTTAAAATGAAAGCAAAGTGTAAGGCTGTGATTGTCTACCAGCAACTGAGGTTTTTACAGTTTTTTTCAGATACTTAAATGTAAATTCGTATGCAGAACCAAGATAAGCCAAGATTATGTTCTTGATTACTTCATCTGTAAGCGTATGTGTACATATATATGTCTGTGTATATGTTTATCTACATATAGATGTGATGCACATATGTATATGCTTTCCTGTATTATACTATTAATCCTACCCCTTAATGTACTCCCATCCACTGTCACTTCTGAGCATCTCTTATTCACAGTCTTTGTACTCTGTGTATTAGGCTAGTAGCTGTGCAGATGTTTTCTTCAGAATGTTTGCTCTGTCAGCTCATACCTTGAGAAAAGCTGTGGTTTTATTTTAATATGTAGAGTTGATGTCAAAACTACACTGTCTCTTTCTGTTGTCTCTATGTGTTTACTTGTGATTTCTGTGGTAGCTGAGCAGTTTCTTCATTTTGTTTCTACAGAAGCAGTAGTGAATGATGCTAACAGCGAAAATAAATCGGGAGCTGCCGATGTAGCTGCAAGCCAGCACGTAATGGTCTGTGCCCTTCAAGAACTGGGCAGTCTGGTGCAGAGTCTGAATGCCACTGCCTCTCCTCTCATCCAGGAGCCCTCCATAGGTATGCAAAGCAATTGAAGTAGGTTATAGAGAGGCTCAAGAAACTAGTATGAAGCCTGATTACAGTCTCGTTAAAAAATAAATTATTATGTGAGAAACAAAGTGATAAAACTGCCATTTCCAGTAGTTTATCTTGACGTTTACTTAGCTCATTGTTTTATAATACCCTAATTTTTAAGCCTGGAGAAGTTTTAAGCAACAGTTTTTGATGGAAAGTTTGCCTGAAGTTCTTTTATGAAGTTTTGTTTCCAGTACTGATGACTTTCAGATAATGATATTATAGAAAATCCACTGTTTTTTCTATACAACTTCTAAAGTGTTTGCTTCTGGAAAGCTGTATCATTTTCAGGCATCGTATTTTCGTGGAGAGTTAGGAGCATTTTGTCAGGAGGTGAACCTCTGGCTAGGCCCAGTTTGAAATGCTTCTCGTTTGGATACAGTTGATATATTTTTGCATTTTTGTTTTCCTTTAAAAAACTCATCTCGATTAATACTTGCATTGTAAAGCTACAGTTTTCATATTTTTACACTAGTAAAAATATACACAGTGGTACTATCCCTTTTCAGTTGCTCTACTAGTTCAAGTGGTAGAAGTCTGCCTTTTACTTGAAAGAAGGACAAAAGAGTTATCGGCATCACGCTCATCCACATAAGGTTGTACCAGGAAAACCAGAGCTGTCAGAGCCACAATGCAAAGTCATAAGATGCAAGAGCTTTAATTCTGGCATTTGTTAACTTTTACGTTGCCTAATTTAGATGCATTTTACTTGTGTGCATATATAAAAAAGTGCATTGTAATTGTGTGGCTATAACTGTCAGAGCCACAATGCAAAGTCATAAGATTCAAGAGCTTTAATTCTGGCATTTGTTAACTTTTACATTGCCAAATTTAGATGCATTTTACTTGTGTGCGTATATTGTAATCGTGTGGCTATAAACTCTCTTTCTTTAGGTCTCCTGGAGACAGTAACTTCAGTTCTTCTTCACCCCAGCATGGCTGCTCGGCTGGCGGCCGCGTGGTGCTTGCGGTGTGTAGCTGTGGCGCTGCCTTTTCAGTTGACTCCGTTTTTGGATAGATGCGCAGAAAGGCTCAACAATCTGAAGACATCCCCTGAAGCTGTCAGTGGCTACAGTTTTGCAATGGCTGCTTTACTAGGTGGTGTGCATCAATGTCCCTTAGGTATTCCTCATGCCAAAGGAAAGGTGAGATAATGCATGTTTTCCAGGCAAGTGTCCCAAGACATATCTTTTTATCTAGAAGTACTTGCTTTGTAAAATATGTGACATGTATATCAAATAAAAGCATTGAAAGGTTGTGCTCATCAAGAACAATGGCTGTAGCCTTTGTATACAGTATTTCAGATGCAATATTTACCATTTTTTTTTTGTCCCCATCTCTCTCTCTCTGGTAGCATGTTGTTATAGAATTGCTGGAGAAAATTACTCTGTGCAAACGCGAAGTAGTTTTATTTGAGTGAAATACAATCTGCTGTTTACAGAATATCCATTTAAATGATTTGAGAAAGTTTTTAATTATAATGTTAGGATGAATTTCTAGCAGTGCTTCTCATCTAAATTTATAGTTTTGAAATCCGTTTTTTTGTCATTGCTGCAGATGGTTGTGAGTATTGCTGAGGATCTGTTACGAACTGCTGCACAAAATAGCAGGCTCTCCTTGCAACGGACTCAAGCTGGATGGCTTTTACTTGGAGCACTTATGACTTTAGGTTTGTGTTTTAAATAAATAAATATATAAATAAAACTCTAATGCTTTCTTAACATTTCTGATTGTGGGCTGTGGCAAATAGTCTCTGCAAGCTGTCAGTATTTTACTAGTTGTTTTCCCAAACAGCGAATTGTTGCTTTTATTTCAGCAGCATTCATTTTTTTTTTTTTAACTTGTGTTATATCATTTCATTTTTTCGGCTAGGTCCGTCTGTTGTTCGGTACCATCTCCCCAAGATGTTACTGCTGTGGCGAAATGTGTTTCCACGTTCTCTGAAGGAGCTGGAAGCAGAGAAGGCAAGAGGAGATTCTTTTACCTGGCAAGTGACGCTGGAAGGCCGTGCTGGAGCTCTGTGTGGTAAGAATTTCAAATTGAAATTTAACATTTTCAGTTTCAAACAAAACTAATACAAAACATGGTCCCATATATTCTACAGAGAACTCTTGTAACTTCTCTTCATTGTTTCGAGATGAGTAAGGTAACTATTTTCACCAAAGTTACCTGGTTTTTATGCACAGTCTTGCAAACACATCATGCAGACTTTGAATAAACATTTTTATTTACTGTGTTTTTGACATTCTTTTAGAATCCTTTTCTGCTTATATATGTTCTGTCTTTGTCTCAATAAAATTTAATTTCAAATGCTTTTTTATTAGCTATGAGAAGTTTTGTTGCCCACTGCCCTGAGCTCCTGACTGAGGATGTTATCAGGAAATTGATGACACCTATAGAATGCGCCATGACAATGATGTCTCAGTAAGTAGACAGTTTTAAAATTATTATTTTTTAATATATAATCTTTAGAAGGACAATTTGAGACTAAAAATGACATTTTGAAAAAAGTTCTTACTACTGTTATGATATAAACTGTCAGAACCAAGAGAAGTTACTATTGTATTTGTTGCTCTTTATGCTCCTTGTGCATTTCTGTATCTTTTTCCTGAGCTAAAGTATTGGAACTAAACTTCTATTAATTCAGCTTCTCATCTTTTGGTCTAGGACTGGACTATTGGTGCCTGTGCATATAGGCAAAAGACTTTCTGTTTGTCTGTCTGTCTTTCTGTCTTTCTATAAGCAACATAATATTCTGATCTGTAGCTATGTTAAAGTGTATTATAACATAGCCTGTACCCAACAGCCTGCCATGAAGGTTTTTGTTAGCTGTGTTTTGGATTTCCAAGGTTTGTTTGTCCTTATGAAAGAATATTAAAATACTTCAATACTAGATGTGTACTTTTATGAAATGTAATAGTGAAGAGACATTAAATACTTTGCAGAATAGTTGATCTGGAGTCCTTTTTTTGGATGGGGGGTGTAAGTTAAAGATTCAGTTCTGAATTACAATATTTTAAATATTTTATCAGAATAATTACTTCTGAAAATGTATTTGTAGTGCAAGTAATGTTCAGAATAGTTCTGTGAACAACTGCTTTCTTAGCTGAGTGAGGAGAGATATCTTGTAGGGGAGAAAAATGGACATGTTCTTTTGAGTAACTGCAGTGTTTGACTTCATGCTCTCATTTTAATTCTCTAGTATTCCATCAGTAATTAAAGCCCATGGAGCTCATCTCAAAGCCAGTGCAGCTATGGTCCGTTTAAGACTTTATGATATTTTGGCTTTGTTACCTCCAAAGACCTATGAAGGTAATTAAATTTGACAATTTTTATTAAAGTAAAAATTCTAGCTATTTCTTTTGATGGATTTCCTGGTGATAGATTTTGAAACTTATTTGTCTAATTCATGTGGCTATATGCAGATGCAAAATACAATATGAAAGACCAGAAGTCTTCACAAGTCTTGTACTATATTTTTCATCTCCTGGATGTTATCTTGACAGCTTAAGTGCAGAGTATGAATATTGCATATCGTCTAACACTTAAAAGTATATAAATTTTGGTTCCACTTGAAGGATTGAGATGTATTGAGTTCTCATTATTAACATTTTTAGGTGTTTATGTCATCATTATATAAAAAAGAACATATTTCATACAAATACTTACAAACAGCAGATGTAGGACTGAAGAATTAATTATGTTTTATAGCCGTGGCTTTTTTAAGCTACGTTGCTGTGCTAGGTAGATATAAAAAGTACATATGCATGCCTTCTGAAATAAAAAAGAAAGAACAAGAAAGTTGAATCTAACTAAAAACATAAACACTTTCAGAGAACTGCAGTTGGAGCAAAATACCTTTTAATCTACTTAGCTATCTAAGGTTTTTCAGAAAAAATCTGATGGCTCAGTTGATAAATACCAGTACCCACAGTGATGGAAAACGGATTTTGGGCAAGACATATGTATAATGCTTGAAATGTTTCATTTCATTTTTTCTTTAAAAACTTTGGTTTTTAACTTCTCATCAAGTGCTAGTATAATTGTATAGTTAATTTGTTATGTTATTTGAGCTAGTGGACAGAATTATGCTATTATTATTGAGTAATCAGACACTTTCATGTGTTCTGACAGTTTTAAAGGGGGCAGGGGAGAGAAACTTCAATACTTTTACCAGCAAATATTTATAAAATCTGGATTGTCATTTTGGAAGGAATGGTATTATCCCTTGTTTAGAATGTTGATTTGGGAACTGAGAGTCCTGCTTCTTATTTGAAGCCTTGCTCTCAACTGTAGCCTAGTCAAGCTTACCCCTATGGCTGTTTATTATGTGTCAAATCAAGATAATGGTCCACACTTTTATTTCTAATTCTGTCTTAAATATTTTCTGGATAAGCAGCAACAATAATTCTTTTAACTATTATACCTCACAGGATCATTTAATGCACTTCTTCGAGAGCTGGTGGCCGAGTTTACTTTGACAGACAACTCTGCTAATACGACCACCTCACTCCTGAGGTCTCTCTGCCATTATGATGATAGTGTCCTCCTTGGCTCCTGGCTGCAGGAAACAGATCATAAGTCAATTGAAGACCAGGTAGTATATAAACATGACTTTTAACAAGTTATGAAATTAAGTTATTCTTCAGAGAATAGATGGTTGTTTAATTGTGTTACCTAAGGAAAAAAGTAGTATTTGCATTATGGTAGAAATATCTGTCATTTTACTGTTTCTAAATCTTTCTACTTAGGGGATCATTACAAACAAAACTCTCATTTAACTTGTACAGTGTTATAAACTCAAAACTCAACCTGGGAGTGAGATTTTTTTCCCTTCCCCCCCCCCCCCTTTTTTTTTTTTTTTTTTTTTTTTAACTGTGTTATAAGCTGCTCTTGGTACTGGAATTTTTCTGCCTTTCTCTGGTATCCTTGTATTACTACTAAGAGTGAGAGTTTGTACACTCACTTAGCTGTTAACTGTTTTGACCCTCTGGGGTTTAGCTGATCCAGTAAATAAGACTAATTTAAACTGATTTGTTAGTACGTGTATTCCTGGATTCTGTAATTACAGAATTTTGCACTGTAAATTGTCTAGTTATTCTGACTACTGCATATTTTGGTTTCTCTATTTGTGAGCTATATGTACAAAGGTGTATTTAGAGGTGTTCATATCATACGGTATTTTGCAGCTTCAGCCAAACAGCGCATCTGGAAGTGGTGCTTTGGAGCACGATCCATCTTCTATTTATTTGCGTATCCCTGCTGGTGAAGCTGTACCTGGCCCCCTGCCCTTAGGAGTATCTGTCATTGATGCATCTGTGGCTCTCTTTGGTGTGGTATTTCCTCATGTTTCTTACAAACATAGGTCAGTTTAAATTGGTGCTCAATTTTGGAATGTAATGGCCTGTTCTTTTGTTGTCGTTCTTGTTTGTTATGTTTTTTGATTATATTATATGACTCCTTTTTTGTCTTTTGAAATGAGAATCTACTCAAAAAACAGCTGCCTCAGATTCAGATTTCAGTGTCTAGTGCTCATTGTGCCTCAGGATTGCCAAACATGTCCACTTACTTTAGAGAAGAAATGACTCCCTAAGTTTGTTGTCTTTGAAGTATATGTTTCCGAGCCGTAGGCTGGATTCTTCACTTCTCTTGCTGCTTTAATGGTAGTCATTTCTCTGCAACCCAAATTTCTTGCAAAAGGTAGCCATACCTATTAGTTTCAAATCAGCCTCAAGAACTTAACACTGACATCCATTAGATTTCATTTGCCTTCCGCAGATAAAACAGATTGATTCACGCTCAGGAAATATCTTATGCATAATGAAAATGATGAAATAGAATTTGCTTATCTTGTGTGCTCTGCATTACCTTTGCAGAGTTATGAGCTGCCATGACTGCTTTTTGTCATTCAGTTTAGCTAACTTGCCACTGAGAACACAGCTGAAAGCAGCTCTGAGCTGCATTTCAAAGTAAAATTACCTTTCAGTGTTTCAGAAGCCTGACGGGAAACAGGTTTTTTTCTTAGCAGTCGATGTCATTTTGCAGTAAGCGCAAGTTAGATGTAAGACTTGCTTGCAGCAATTCAGCCTTATGTATGCTGTTAGCTAGAGAAGAGATCTGGCTGTGTCTGAACAGCCCTGCAGGCAGCTACAGCCAGAAGGCTGTGTAGTTAAGAATGCAGATTTTTCATTATGCTCTTGGCATTACGTTCTTGGCAGCTTTTATAGAATAGTCTTTAAGGAATTGCTATTTAGAAGTGCTCCTGCTCTCAGTAAGGCTTTCCCAGCTGAGACTAAGTGGGGAAAACCTGAACAATAACAGGCGTGTGAAGAGTAAGGTGATTTTGAATGGAAGTGGGGAGGTGGTATTTTTGCCAGTCTTCCAGAGGAATGTCTGCAGACTCACCTCCTTTTACTGCTCCTTTCTTCAAAGGGACTGATCATTTACTTATGGCTGAGCAGCACAAAGAGGAGGTAGGTTTAGAAACAGCTCTCTACTCAGCCTTCCTAAGGTGGATCAGAGAAATGGACCAATAGATTCTGCAGCATAAATTCTGTAGCAGAACCTATAGCACCAGCTTTTTTATTTGTTGTTATTACTATTATTTTTAGAATACTGCTTAATTACGTATTACTTTCTTTTCTGTTTTAGATTACAGATGCTGGATCACTTTGCTGAGTGTGTCAAGCAGGCTAAAGGTGTTCGACAGCAAGCTGTGCAGCTTAATATCTTTACTGCTGTTCTCAGTGCTTTGAAGGTAAAGCTACTGCAAACTTCTAATGGATGCTAGAGTTCAGCAGTTTGATTCATAGGTTTATATGCTATACTGGAGGCTGTCAGCAGAATCATAGAATGGTTAAGGTTGGAAGGGACCTCTAGAGGTCTAGTCCAACCCTCCTGCACACGCAGGGTCACCTAGAGCACGTGGCACAGGACTGCGTCCAAGCGGGTTTTGAAGATCTCCAGAGAGGAGAATGTTACTGAAGTTTGCAGTCAAGTGCTCAGAAGCCTGAGAATACAAAGAATTATTTATTTTTGAGGTTTCATCTCTTGTCTGCATAGATAAGTACAGAGAGTAAATGATACTCATGTTGTCAGAAGCTCTTCGGTGCTACACACTTGGAAATCAAACCTCATGCAAGTCAGAACATATATTATGACTATATACTGACTATTTATGACAGTAGCTCATAAATAATGTTTCTGAGAAATATTTAGTTTCAGTGACCTGTGCAACCTCAAGTCTCTGTAGAGAAGTGTCATAGTTTTTCAAAACTAGTTTTGCCACATTTCTTTCTTGCTACTCTAAGCTTTCTGACATCTCTTCCAACCATCATTTGTTCTACCTGCCTTTTTTTTTTTCTTTTTTTCTTACCTCAGTTCCTCTTTCTTTCTTTCCTGTAAGTCTGTAGGCCCTGTGGTTTTGTTCCTGGTTCTATCTTTTTCTCTCTTGAGACTTCTGAGTTCAAATTATTCAGTTGATTACCTCAAAACTGAGTTAACACATACGGCCTGATATGTAGTTGAGGGACATACTTAGTTAAGCATGTGATTTTTTTTGAGCACAATAATTAAAGAAAATACTTTGGGAATTTGACTGCAGAATTTTCGTAAAATTAAGAAAAAGTATTTTTATAAACTTATAGTTGGGTACTTTTTTTGTGGTAGCAGCGAAAGCCGTATTCCTTCTGCAAATGTCATCTCCTGTCAAATATCAACTCTATTTGGAGCGTGGTAGGGTTTTTCAGAGAAAAATATCTCTGAAAAACAGGAATAATGTTGCTAAAAATAGAAATACAGATTCTGAGAAAGATATCTGGAATTTCCTCTGCAATGCTACGTGGCTAAAGACTGTCAAAATTGTAGGAGTTGAAACTGGGATTCCATAAATAGAAATGAGAATTTCTGGTAGGACTATCTCCTTCCTCTATAACATGGGTGGTTTATTTAATTTATGTGTGTTTAATTACACTGGGAAAAATAGAAGACTGAAAGTTGCGATGAAAGGTAAGGTACCATTCATGGAATATGGGTACTAAAAAGCTGCTGAGAGTGTTGTGATTTAGTTTTATCACTTTGCAGCAGCATTATATACCACTGTAGAAATGATTGCAAAGCTGTATGCTTTTTTACTACAAAAAAAGGAAAAAAAAAGAAAAAAACCTTTCATGTACCTAAAATGTTTTTGATTTAAGTGATATTTACAGGAACAAGACTGAGCTGTGGTTTTCCTGTCTGGTAGAAAGAGATGCTGCAGTTAGGAGGTACATTAAAGCCACCTTTTTCTGGATTATCTTGTGTAAAGCTAGCTCACATTTAGTAGCAGTAGGTTGTGTTTTTCTGTGACACAATTTGAGCTAAGAGACTGGTGTAACCAAGTTCTTCCCCTATGTGAAACAGGTAGAGTCTTGGCAAAGATGAGGCTTTTGTGCCTGTTGTTGGAATTGCTTTAAACTTTATCATTTTTCTAGAGTATCAGTATGTTTTAGAAAAATATCACTAATTGAAAGAAAAATAGAGTTGTATAATTTTTAACTGAGGATCTCTTATGTAGAAAAATAACTCTGATTATCTTTCCTCATTTGGATTTTTTTTCCTGTTTGTTTGTGTAGGGTTTAGCTGAAAATAAAAGCACATTAGGACCAGAGGAAGTTCGCAAATCTGCTCTGACATTGGTAATGGGTGCCCTTGATAATCCTAACCCCATTTTGAGATGTGCAGCAGGAGAAGCTCTTGGCAGAATGGCTCAAGTGGTTGGAGAAGCCACTTTCATTGCCAGAATGGCTCAGTACAGTTTTGATAAGTAAGTTTTGATTCAGAAAAGTAAATAATTTAGCACTGCTTGAAAAAAAAATCCTCTACTAGATACCGTAATGATTATTTTCATACTTGCATGAGGTATCGCTATACAGAGCTAATGAACTCTTCAAATTTTGATGGATTTCATGTGATTCTACCAGGGGTAGGTGATAACTTGTTAAGATAGTTGGAAAGCAAAGTGATGCTGATGAAGAGTTTTTAGTGGGTTATTTAAGTTAATCAAATGGCTTCAGATGAATAAACTAAACTTTCTGTAAACGTCTACAGTGTGAGTTCTATGGAAGTGGTTCTGCTGCTTCAAGGTAAACTAATATGTAAAAGGAATACTTTATCTCCTGGTCTGTGTTTTGCTTCTGTATTCTGGCACTTATCACACGTTTTTAGGATCTGTCTGGTAGACCTAATGAGACAAAATATTTCCCAATTTTTAGCTTATCCTAAGAGACAACAGCCAGTCTGTGAAGCAGAATGAGCCTCTGTCGGGGCTGCAGTCCATGCCTGCTGCCTGGCCAGACTACAGGCACCTAGTGCTTGGTCCAGCTCTCCTTACTGCTGCCTCCCTCTCCCCCAAATTATTTTTTCCATTACTTGCTCTTTTTTTGTCTTTCTTTGAGATGCAGTGAATTTCTGTTAATGGGACCATCCCCTTTAGTCTTGTCTAGGATTCATGTTTACGTTGGATGCCTGTCTGTGCTGTTGTCACTGTTTTTGGTTATTTGGGACTTGCTTTCATTGGTCACTAGCAGCTAACAGCATGTACCGCTCACTAAGATAACTAGGGGATTTTTTTTATTTATTCTATTTAGATTATTTTTGTTTGTTTTGGAGAAAGTTTAATTAACTTTGACACGTGCTGTGCATGTGGAAGCTAAAATATTGTGGAAAATATTCATTTAATCACTGATTGATAGAATTAGGTCATTCAAAATGCTCTTCATTCTTTTTTTTTTTAAAATTTTAAAAATTTATTATTTTTAGCTGTATCAGAAAAATCATAGAATTCAGCTGCAGTATTAAACATTTGAAGTGGGGGAAAAAAGTTGTTGACTAAAAAGTGTGTCTGAATTTCTTTTTAATTTCTCTGCATGCCTTGTCATTTTTCCTTTTGTGACTTCTTTTCACTGCAGCAATCTAAAAATGATCAAAAATATTAAGCTCTGACCATTGAGAAAACTTTAGTTTAATAATTCATCTCTTTGGTTGGTTTATATGCAATCTGGTTTAATAGCTTTCTACATTAAATATTTCTTTTTCTTGTTGTTGCTTTTCTGATTAAACCTTCTGAAGACCTTCCTGTAGGCTGATAGGCAATGTTCTGTTAGAAGATCTTTTTGTTTGTTTGTTTGTTTTCTGTTATGATACTTAAAAGATTCTTGCTCCAAATTTAGTGAATAACATGATTTGTTTTTGTTTAAATGTTAGGTTAAAATCTGCTCGAGATGTTGTATCAAGAACAGGTCATTCTTTAGCTCTGGGCTGTCTCCATCGCTATGTTGGAGGAATAGGCTCTGGGCAGCATCTGAAGACCAGTGTCAGTATTCTCTTGGCTTTGGCACAGGATGGAACTTCTCCCGAGGTCCAGGTAAAAAAGCTCAACCACAAAAATTCTTTAAGAAGAAATCAAGATTAAAAGGAAAAATTAACTTACCTGTTTAAGTTTTGTTTAATAGAGATTTGCATAAGCCAAAACAGGTGGGCATGGTGTGCGCCAGGTACTGTTTAAAAAAACCTCTCATCCCACATATCTTTTGCAATGAAGTGTAACCTTACAATGATCTGTTAATTAGGAAGGCAATTGCATATGGTCGTGTTAATTCAAACTGACAAGTGTCTGCTTGTCAACTGAGCCAGGGCTACCTGCTGTGGGCATGTTCATGACTAGTTATAATTGCAAAGGAAAATGTGTTAATTGTACCCTGGTGTTCCAAACCCGTATTTTATCAACTGGCTATTCCACTGACTCAACATATGGTCAGCTATTGGAGCTGATAAATTTCTTTGCCAAGTCATTTCATTTATTGTGATACAAGATAAAACTTTTTTTGTTTATTTGTTTTAAACCTATTACATGGGATAGGAGTTAGTGCAAATACTAAAAAAGTAAAAGGAGGTGTTCTTACCACAATGGTTTATGAATCCATGGAAATCTTCCGAGGGGGAGGGAGGATTTCCCACCTGGGGGGAGTGTTGTGCTCTGCGTCTGCTCTCCCCTAAATATCTGTTTGTGCCTGCTGCTAGAGAAGGGAGCGTGGGCTGGGTGGACGGACATCTTGCCCTTGCGTTAGGAAGATGACTTCTGGAGTGGGAAATTGTTGTTGCTGTTGTTGTGTTTTTTTTTTTCCCTTCCCTCAGTGAAATCTATCAAAACAGTAGAATAAAAGAATTACTTAAAAAATTAGCCATTTTTAGGTAAAAATATCTCGTCTGTAATTTTTCTTCAAAGATCATAGTCGAATAGCACCATATAACAGGTGACTTTTTTTCATTCTTTTGTCATTGTGCTTCAAGAAAATTATGAACTGAAATAGTGACTATCATGCTTTAGCAGTAGGAAATTGTGTCCACTCACAGACTGAGAAACAGAGGCTCCCAGTAACTACATAGAATTGTTCTCCCACATCTGATAAAATATTAGCTTGATAATACAAATAATTCTGTAAGTCTTTATTTCTTTTTCTAAAAGCAATTCAAAATGATAACTTCTATAGCTTGTCATTTGGAGGAAAAAAAAAAGATTAGTTTTTGTTTGGCAATGAAAATTAAAAGTATGTGAAGTTGAAAATATGTGAATCCACTTTAAAATCTCCTTTAAATTGCCTTACTTTAAGGTAGAACAGAGCTCTGTTTGCATGTGTAGCCTTTCTTATATGAATTCTAAACTTACACAATGTATCATTTATTTGGGGAACAAAATGAAAAGTGTTACTGGAAAAAGAAGTCTAAGGCCCTAACTTATGGGTCTAGCTTATTTTTATATGTGATACCAGCCCACTGTGAAACAGCTAAACTTTCAAACTTCCTCCCTCACTAAATCAGTGCTGATACCATTTGGGAACAGAAGTGATGGAGATTGGCAAGAACAGAAAGATAAGCTGTAATGTGTTACCCATGCAGCTAAGAGTGTAGAATAAGTTATGTATGATTGCTAGGGACACTGCTAATGGTTTTCTGGATTATGCCAGAGAAGGCTAAAAAGGAATGGTTTTAAAGGCAGGTTGTCCTGCTTACTCCAAAGAGTCTAGCTCTGTAGCTGTAATACTCTTTTAACCTGCTCTTTTCAGTGTATTTGCATCACTTAGAAGAAAATTCTGATTTAAGGTCTTTTAGAATGGTATGGAGAGATATCTAAGGCTTTCAGGTCTTTCAGAGTAGTTCATTTCCTATGAAGCTTTAGTGATAGCTTCCTCTCCTGCTTCCTTGCTGTTTTACTTTGACAATTGCAGTAAAGTATTTTGTAATATACTGCTTTGTTGTTTATTTACATTAAAACTGAAAGGTTTGATCTTTCACCAGCTTCTTCCATACCCTTTAGTACACTGGCTATATGTAAAGAGCTCTCCGTTCCTTTCCTGCACCCTCTGATTAAAAAAAATTCAACGATAAACTCCCATTAACCTTTTTCAGTTGGATAGAAAACGATTTTCATGACAAAAAGCAAAGGCGTTCCCAAGTAAGGATTTTAACAACTGTCTGTTTCTGAACAGCCACTTCTTTTATAATAGGTATATTGTTTGTTCAGAAAATGGTTAAGCATTTTGTGGAAATGGAAGAAAAATACAACCTTCATCTCCATTATGCCCCAAAGCAGCCAAAAAACAGAGTGGAAATATTTCAACTCCCTGGTGGTTGCTTGGGATTCTGGAACCTGTGGGACATTTCTGGAATCCGATAGCTAAATAGAAATGTTTAAGCGCTGCTTAACCTACATACAAAATTGTTTACCTTTCTGAAACATATTACTCAGAAGTATTCCTTTGTTTTTTAACAGACTTGGTCTCTCCATTCACTTGCCTTGATAGTGGATTCCAGTGGACCAATGTACCGCGGATATGTGGAGCCAACGCTGTCTTTGGTTCTCACTCTGCTCTTAACTGTCCCACCGTCACACACAGAAGTGCATCAGTGCTTAGGCCGATGTCTGGGAGCCATAATAACTACAGTTGGGCCAGAGCTGCAAGGTTAGTGTCAATTTGAAGAGAAACCAGGTACATCATTTGCATTAAATGACAGCTACAATGGAATTATATTCTCAACTGGAAGATGATCAGTTTTTGTTCACTGCAGCTAATGAGGAGGAAAACAAATGACCAATAGGCAGTTAGGGTCCTACAGACAGCCTTTAGTTGGCCTACAGCCAGCCTTTAGTTGGATCTTCCTTTGCTTGCATCCTTTTTTATTATTTTTTATTTATTTATTTTTTTGTAGACAGCAGTTTGAGATTTATGTAGAGAAGCTGCATTTATGTACGGTGTATGGCTAATTTGCATTGTAGATTAAAAATCAAGAACATCCTTGCCACAGATGTTTTATGAATAGGTGGGGCAAAAGATGAGATTTTTTTCCTCCCTTTTCTGACATATGTTGGTACTTTCATTTTTGACTGGTGACAAGAGCTTAAAGGTTTACCTCATTGATGAACTTGTGAACTCTAAATATCTGGACTTTCATATTTATCCAAAATTATCTAGAAATTTTTCTTAATTTGTGTATATTAATGGCTTGGAGTGCTGTTAACTTCAGAGCATGCTTGTCTAGAATATTTTCAGCAGATTACATTTTGCTGTAATTGAGGATTGCTGGTAAAACTTATGCAGGTTAATTCTTAAAATACAGGATGCTGCAGTTCTTAAAATCAAATTCTTTGAATGCTTGTCCTGTTACAGCTGTGTTACCCATCTGATGGAGCCAGCAGACATCACTTGGTCAACCATGCGTTAGCTTAAGTATCAACTGATATTTTAGGGGATGATTGTGTACATGAAATGTTGCCCATATGTATAGAATAAAGAAGGCTTTCAAAACTGAAATTTAGATGATTTTACTGGTTTAATGTCTTAGTAAGATACTTCCAAGATATTTCTGCCTGAAGTTTCAGCTGGAAAGGACGTTGTTTAACCGAGCCAAAAAACATATCAAAATACTCTAGCGTATCTCTAGAAATTGACTGGGTATTAATGAGAGGTAGGAGTCATGTATTAATCCCCTGAATGTTCATGCCTTTGAAACTTTAATCCAAAGGTTTATAATCTTCAATTGTCATACAAAAATCTTGGTGTGCTAAGGGAGTCGTATTACATCGTTAGGTAACGGAGCTACCATCTCAACAATCCGTTCTTCCTGCTTGGTGGGATGTGCAATCACCCAAGACCACTCGGACTCGCTTGTTCAAGCAGCTGCCATATCCTGTCTTCAGCAGCTTCACATGTTTGCACCGCGGCACGTCAACCTGTCCAGTCTGGTTCCCAGCCTTTGTGTGAGTATGAAGTGCATCCCCTCCTCAAAACTTGTCCATGTGCCTAGCAGAGAGGTTAGCAGAAGAACTTGGCAAGGTGATAGTCACAGAATCACAGAAGGGACGTCTGGAGATCATCTAGTCCAATCCCCTTGCTCAAGCAGGGACACCTAGAGCATGCGGCACAGGGACACCCATATGTCATAAACAGCATAAAAGGAATATTGTTCACGAGTGGCTTTAGATGCTTTTTAAAATGCTGCCAAAACTGAACTTTTAGGGTCTGATTCTCTTTAACCTACACACTCAAGATAGCGAGCATTTTTATGTAATATAAATGAGTAGAAAGATGCTGAAAACTGTTACTTGCCACTGGTTGTGTACACTGAGAGAAGAGGGTGACTTGAGGAAAGGTAGGAGATTAAAGACTTGTTCTAGCTTGTACTGCTAATGTACTAGTTGCTGATGTTCTGACTGTTGTGCTGCTGTTGTGGTGAGTGCTGCTTTTGGCTTCTGTTAATGCTCTGACAACAAATCCTGGCTTAAGCCAGGAAGCAAGGCAGAGGCTGGAAGCCCAAACACACCAAATATAATTGCAAGAGACAATTTTTGCTAGAAGGTTTAGCAGACTAGTACTGAAAAAATTTAGAAGGTAATCCTTGTTTTTCTGTTAGATGCTTCATAAAATTCCTTGAGTGATTCTGTGTGGAACTGGTTGTTCTGTGTTACCTGAAGGGATGCAATCCTACTTGCATCAGTGAGGGAACGTTTTCTTCACCTCACACTTGGACTTTTCCCCAGGGCATCCTCTCATTACCAGTACTCCCCTTCCCAATCCATGCCACTTATTTCTGTCCGGGAGCCCTCCTGTACAGTGTGCTTCCAAGGTTCTGTTGTTTGTCTGTGCATAAAAGCTTGTATGAAGAAGTTGCAGGATACCCAAGAGGAGGTGGGCCCTTTTGTATCAACAGTACAAGCAATATTACAACAGTCTCCAGCTAATTTCTCTAGTGGGTAGTGTTAAAGACACTGAAGTTAGTTCATGTGGGACGTAGGCTTTTTTGAAAACTTTTCCCAGTTTATTCTACTGTCTCTTTGCTGCTGCTTTGTGGTTCTTTGTTAAACAAAGCTATTTTTCTTTTTTTTTCCTTTTTTTAACTTATTCCTTTAAATTAATAGTTTTCCTTATTCCTTCCAAATCCTGATCCTTTGTTGGATAAGTTTTCCTCTAAATAGTCTTCTGCAGTTCTTAATTTAGAAAATACAGACATGTAGGTACAGTGTGTATTGCACTCCTAATGACTCCTAGCTTTTTTTCTGCTGCTTGCACCATGAGCACTGCTTGTTTTTTAGGTAACTAAAAGCAGGGGATAGTCTTTCCATTAATTAAATCCCCAAAGTGTTCTGTGTTTTTAGTTCCATTAAAACAGCCTCAGTGTGATACTTAGAGGATACTTTAAAGTTTGTTTATTTTTTCAGGACTGAAATCTTGTATATTCATATGTGGAATAAAGATCCACTGTTAAGATACTTTGTAAACTATACAACAGTTTCATTTAGGAAAGCAATTTCCATCCACATAATAAGCTAATACTGAGAAAGCAAATGTGTATCAGTTTATTAAAAACAAGTTCCCTGGGGTAAATAAAGAATCAGTTTCTTAAAGAGCAGTCTTCAACTCCTCCACTGTGGAAAAACATACAGTACCCGGTGCAGCTACTTCCTCTCAAGAAAATTGGGATCATGCTCAATTCTTCTCTAAGAAAAATATTTACTTGTACTTGAGGTGATTCAAAAGGAAGTACAAGTCCAATATTGGTTAGCAAAGAAATCTGACAACTTGCTTACTGAGAGGCACTTTACTGAAATTTATACTATAAATTCTGGTACTGGTTTGCAAGAAAATTTTAGTGATAGCTGTTGTGTGTGCTGCTTGGTGGCTTCTTTGTTTTTAAATATGTGATTGATAGCTGTAGCAGTATATGATGTTTAGAAGTACTCAGCAGTATGGCAGATTCAAATGTGTAATTAGTCCTGACTCAAACTGGTGCCATAGTCTGAATGTTGAGCTCTAATCTTGCCAACAGGTGTCAGGTCTAGATATGGCAGCTTTATTTTTGACTTTGAGAGTAGTAAATGCCTATCTGTGAACTTCAAAGAGTTGGTGAAGAGCTTGGTCTCCAGCAGCTCACTCCAGGGCATATCATTCAAAGGGAGAATGCTGGTAGTCCTTAGCAGCTCTGACTTGCTGAAAGGAGGCTGCACCAGTTTGGTCACTTGTAACGGTTCTGATTTTAGGTCCACTTGTGCAGCTCCCACTTGCTCCTTCGGCGGGCCGCGGTTGCCTGTTTACGACAGCTTGCTCAGAGGGAAGCAGCAGAAGTATGTGAATATGCCATGAGCTTAGCAAAAAATGCTGGAGACAAAGAAAATAGTAGCAGCAGTAAGTATTTCTTTCGTGTGGTCATTTGTAACGGCACCACGTGTGCATGTGTGGTTTGTCTTCAAAAAAACAAAGCCAGAAATATTCTTTCCAGCTTCAAGAAGATCCTCCCTGCTTGCCTCCCGAATTACGGATATTCCTTAAACCTCCGTAAAGTTCAAAATTAAATTTCTCTACCTCACTGAGAATGGCAAGCAAGGAAGGAAGCATGTACGGTGGAAAAGTTACCATTTTTTTTGATATTCTTGTTTTGGGTCTTGCTCTTTTGGAAATGAACGTACTGGATGCTGTTTGGCTGAACTGTCCAGCTGTGGTATGTTCTGTTAACAGCATCTTGGCCAGCCTTTGGGCTTTCCTAGGCACAGCAGTATTGATCAGCAAAATTTTCTTCATAAGAACACAAACTTGTCTACATATAAGTACTAAGCCAGTAATATTTGTCTATGAAAGGATTCTGTAGAGTCATGTGCTCATAGGTGTTTCCATAAAAAGACGTAATATGTGATTTGAGTAGACTTTTATTCAAGGAGATTAAAATTGTCTTGCAGAAAATAAATTTAATGAATAGCTATATTAAAACTTGATTGTTAATTCAGAAAAAAATCAGTAACATTTTGACACGCGAATGCAGAATGTCTGGTTTGTTACTCCCAGTTCTAAAACCGAGTTACTGGTTTCAGAAAAGCTTCCTTAGTTTCTTCATTATCATTTTACAGATATGAATCCTTTTGCGCCGGGAGCTGGTTCTCGGCGTGATATTCACTCCCGGCATCAGGGAGTTAATATAACGGAGACAGGCCTCGAGGGTGTCCTTTTTGGCATGTTGGATCGGGAGACCGATCGGAAGCTGTGCTCCGATATCCACGACACCCTGGGCCATATGCTGTCATCTCTGGCAGTGGAAAACCTTTCTCACTGGCTGATGCTCTGTAAGGACGTTCTTGCGGCTTCCAGCGGTAAGTGCTTCACAATATTCATGTGGAGTTAGCTTTAGCATTAGTATTAGCATTGCCTGGCAATACTACTTTGGAGCTTGTCTTTTGTCAATGCGGGAATACATGTTAGAACTTAATGGTGTGTGTAGAATTTGGACGATGGTGCATTAAAACTTGTTCAAAGTCATCAATGTCTTGGTCATTTTTAAAAGTATTTGTTTCTTCCAAGACTTATAAGTTATCCTTTATAAAGTAGGATTGCCAGTGGGGGGAAGTGCAGCTGCTCTGACTTCTCAGTATTTTAGCAAAAGCAGAATTATTTTTCTTAGCCTTTATACTCAGGGCCATTTGGAAGGAGGAGTGCTGGTCGTCCTCTCAGTTTTCTTTCATGAGGGTTTTTTTGAGTTACTGATGTGATGATGGGTTGCCATGGTGATGGGAGGTTTTTTGCTTGTTGTTCAGCTTTGCAGACTTGTTTGCAAGGATTTTGTCCTTGGAGACCTTATTCCTGTTTTTTCAGCTTCTGAGATAGTTGTGACGCAAATTCTGCCCATTTTTCTTGCATTGGTACTTGTTTACTGGCGCTCTGTGAGCTTCTTCGTGTCAGATGGTTACCATATATATGCCTCGTGAGAATGGCTTCTTGTTTCCTGAGTTTGAAGTTATGTCCTTTTCTTGTTTAATGTGGAATGGATTTTAAAGTTATTAACATGTTTGTCCAGTCTACTCTTGGTAATTTTTTTTTCAGTAGCTGAAATAATCTCTCAAAGAACCCCATTTAAATATATTTTTCTCAGCTCTACTTAAATAAGTCAGCAACTCTATTTTCAATTCTCTGATCCAAGTAGTTTTGGCAAATGAGCCAAAATCTAGTTTGCTTTTTAAGCGGAGATTTACAGGTCAGCCACATAAGTTTTCCTGGATGCTTTCTCAAAACACTCTTGTTTTGCCTTGGCTTCATCCATGTTTGCTTTGTCATAGCCTCTCTCTGTTGAGCGTCTTGGCTCTTCAGCTGCCTAAATTTACACTTTCGAAGAAGCATGCCTTAGTTGGGGTAGGATACACTTGCAATAATTTCTTCTTGTTCTTCTCTAGCTATTACCACAGTGATTTTTGTCAGTATGTTGACATGTTGCTAATTTACAACTGAGTTCTGAGATTGCGTGTGCTCTTATCTGAGTAGCGGGAATGTATATGCATGTTTGGTGAGTTGCTTTTTGTCCTCCTTCTTTTCCTTCCTGTGGTCCTTGAAGCCTTGTTATTTTTTGAAATGAAATCCCACAGCTGTGTGTAAATAGAAGAATTTTTGTTTGCCCATTAAGCACATTCATAAGTGTCATAAGCTGTCCACTTGGCTGTAAAACTGTTTTGTGGCACACAGCTTTAGTTTGGTATCAGTTTAATGTGACTCTCAGCTTTCTGCTCGAGCAGTTCAAAGCCAAGCTAATTCTTTGATTCTGAGCCTCGAAAACTCCTTTCCCTCTTTGTTGGTAATTTAATAGGTTAATTTTCAAAGCTGCGGAGCTTGAGATTCAACTACAGTTGGCATCTGTGGAGAAGTAATGTTACAGGAATTGATTTGAGAGATTGAGGAGAATATAGCCCAGAGTTAGGAATGAAAAAATGTCCCTTTTACTGATATTCCTATGTCTTTCTACCTTTTCCAAACTTAGCTCTTCCTACAGAAGATGTTTGTTTTGAATCTAAGTATAAAGAAAGACCTGGCAACTTCCTTATGGAAATGTCCATTTGCAGATTATGACGGTGCCTTTTTTCCCCTTTCTCTCTCCAATTGCTCTGTGTTGCAGACATGAGCACTGCTGCTCCCTTGGGAGGAGGCAAGGATGAGGAGTCGGAGAAGAAGGAGGAGATGGACGATGACACCATGTTCACCACCCTGGGCGAAGAGGATAAGTCCAAGCCCTCCGTAGCACCGCGCTGGGCGACGCGGGTGTTCGCAGCCGACTGCCTGAGTCGGGTTATTCTGCTGTGTGAGAACGCAAACAAAGCGCACTTCGATCTCGCAATGGCCCGTTCAGCCAGGCTTAAAAATCCAAAAAGTAATTACAGACATGAATACTGTGTGTGTGTGTGTGTGTGTCTTGTCTTTGATGCCTCTTTACAATTTAAGATTACCCAGCTCAGATAGGAGTGTAAGCAGTTAAAAGGAAGATGAATATCTTCTCATGTAAATGGTAAGAAAACAAAAGTTATGTCCAACAAAAGGGAATAAAATTGGGATGGTGAAATTGTTCCTGTGTGCATGAACATGAAGGGCGAGGTTTGCTTGAGGAGACAAAGTCTGTTCTAGACAGACTGATCTAACTGGGAAAAAAAAGACTGTTGGATTTGCAAGCTGCGCCCCCTCCCCCCTTTTTTTTTCCTCCAGTTTGCAATAGAAGCAGCAGATTTCTAGCCAAGTGTGATCAGGGAAGAGTTTCTCTAAGTTTAACTGAGGGACAGAAATGAATTAGATTTTATGGATTATTTTACTACCTGCAGAACAAAATTTTACTAGGAAAATATGAATTCATAAGGCACGTAAATATTGCTGTGGGGTTGATGTGGGGCTAAGGATGTGGTAGGGAGTAGTGATATGGCATGAAGCCAGTTGGCATATTAAGATCATTATTTTGATATCCGTGGGAGTAAAGAGTATTAGTTGTAAAGCTTCTGTTTGAAGGTACTTTTATGACTTGGAGGATCTTAAGTGAAGTTAAAAATGAGATGGTTTGTGAAAAACTTTTCTCTAACTGATAATGGGAGGTTTCTGTCCTTTGATCATCCACGTGCTCTAGGTGACCCTATGTGTGCAGGAGGGTTGGACTAGATGGTCTCTAGAGGTCCCTTCCAACCTTAAGCATTCCGTGATTCTATGTATATTTGTTCTGGTGCATACTGATTGGTGGCTTTCACCATATGTGGTTCATGAAAGCTTTGGGTTTATATCTCTGAACCTGATATTTAAAGTGAACTTGGTATATTTGGTGGTATTAGGGGAAAAATAACTCTTCCCACAACTTAAACTTTAAAATTATTTATATTAAACTGGTATTTATGAAGGCCTAAACTAGTGTTTTTCAGTGTTTCCTTACTGACTTGCCTCTAAAAATCTTAGCTGCTATATATTTTTAACCTTGAGACTTGGAAAATATCAAGAGCTTTAATAATTTATAATTTGAATTTCATGTTAATCACCCTGGATATTGTATTTTTAAATAGTTTTTCCTATTCTACGTTATCTGGTAAAATAAAACTGTTACTGGGAAAGAATAACCCTTGCAGAAGTGTTATTAAGTATGACTCTTCTGTATATTTTCTTCTATTATGGCCTTGGATAGAGCTCTTGGAAGCAGAAGTAGAGGGATTGATTCTGGGATTTTTGAACGTGACAAAGTTGTCCTTTATCAGCAGGGGTCACTATAAGTATAGCACTTGAAAAGCAGTTGCCTTGAAGTTTTTTCTGAAGATATGAGGGAAAAAAAAACCAATAAAGTTAAGAGATTAAGATGCTTAGTTATAAGTTGCCTGAGCCATGTTTAAAATATTCTATTCAGTGCAAATATATATATATATATATATATCATATTCAAGTCTTTATCAATTTTGTGCTAAAAGATAGATTTGTCTTTTTGCCTGCTTTCTTGCACACCCTAGATGGAGAACTTTGGTGGGGGGGGAAAGATGAAATTTGTACATATCAGTGAGGAAAATATTACAAATATCCATCATATGTCAGCTTTCAAGTCCCTTAATAGTCTTTGTTGTTGTTGTTTTGGTCTGTTTTAAGATGACTTCTTAGTGCTGCACCTTTCTGACCTGATTCGAATGGCGTTCATGGCTGCGACGGATCACAGCAACCAGTTACGGATGGCCGGTCTCCAGGCTCTTGAAGACATTATCAAGAAGTTTGCATCGGTTCCTGAGCCAGAGTTTCCAGGCCATGTGATACTGGAGCAGTATCAGGCTAATGTGAGACCTCCTTTATACGTTCAGGAAATTGTGTATTTATGCCAATGTGCCAGTGTTAGCTTTGAGAACATTTTGTAACTTCAAAAGACCTGTGAGAGATTTTTTACGTGTGAAAATGTACTGAGGGGACTGGTTTATTTACCTCCTAAAAATTAATTTCTGCCTCTCTTTCTATTTATTATAATTTAGTAGCTGACAAAGTTTAAATCAATAGCTATTGATTTGTGAAAGCCAAACATAAAAAGGTACGTTTAATTTTTGGCAACAGTGACATTCATGGGTAAAACTAAGAGTTTGAAAAGAATGCTGATTCAATTCCAAATTGAACCCAATAAATCTGTTTTCCTGGGAATTCATGAATGTACTTCTGTTCTAATGAGAAATCTGCAAAATTATAGGATGGTAGCTGGGCAATTTAAGATGTATTTTGGGTAGTATTAGTTTGTCAGGTTGCTTACCTCTTGTACATCCTCTATCCTTGACTTTAAAATTTTCAATATAGGTTTCAATGAAGTGTAGATACTTCAAATTTAAATATTAAATACCTCACTCACCTAAAAGTCATCCTTCGTCTGAGGTTTGCATACAGAGAGTAAAGCTTTAGACCAGTGTAATACAAAGAAATTTTTCTGTTAACTCTGCATATCTTACAGGCTTCCAGTTCTAATCACTTTAGCTATTCTCTCTATTTGGGCAGATTTATTCTTGCAGACAACTGCATCGGTGATTTACCAATATTTGCAAGTTCCTATTCCTCCTGCCCCTTCTTCCGATAGTGCTTTTACTATTGTTTCTGTCTATTTGACTTGGCTTCTTTTGTTTCAGAAACAGGCTCTCTCAGAAGGAGTGCCTAAAGGCTGCTTAGCCAGCGTTTGTCATTCCAGTGAGCTTAACACAAATCCAACCATAAATGTCCGATTTCACATGGATGAATATCAAAATGTCATTGTCTTGTGGTGCGCTGAAAGTAGTTGAGCTAGTTAAAGGTAGCTGAAACTTAAAAAAGCAATGGGAAAGCAGGAAATAATGATTGAGGGTTTTGATGAAGAAAACTTACAGCAAATGTCTGCTAGGTAAAAACAAAGATATGTTTTTGGTATAATTAGAATGACAAAATTTACAATCTTGTCTTTGTTTACTTTGTATGTGTGATTTAGCCTTGATTAAGATTAGCTGAACATTGTTGATTAACAATGTTTTAACAAGACAACGACACAACAACAATGTTCAAAACATTGTAACAGTGTTTTAGCTGGATATTTTTTTTCTTTCAAATAGGTTGGGGCTGCTCTGAGGCCAGCTTTTTCCCAAGATACTCCATCAGATATAACTGCCAAGGCTTGCCAGGTACAGGTGGCATAACCCACAATCCACTGCATAATTTGATGCAAGAAGTTTTCTGTGTTCTCATTAGAGTGATAATGATAAACCATCAGTAAAAATTCAGTGACAGGCTGTTTTTTTTTTGTGTTTTTTTTTTTTTTTTTTTTAGCATGAACTTGTACTGCTGTAGTTTTAAAACACAGCTACTGCTGTATCAGATATGGAGATTAAATCATCTATTTACTGGAGTTTAAATCTGTTAAACTACTACTGTAGTTTAAGTCTGCGGTTAATTATCATGTAGACATCAGTTTTAACAGGATAGTTTTGTATACATGAGAGCTTTATCTATAAATTTTGGCCATTCAGAACTTTGATTTTATTGTTTATACTCCTTCCTGGCAGCAAAACTTGTAAACATAGATCAAATACTAATATAATTTGGTGTTATACATACAGGGAAGGCATCCATTTACCTTACAGATGGTTTTTGTTCATTTAAAACTAAATGAAGAGACAATTTGTGTGAAAACATGTAAAGCCCTTTAAGTTGTCCAAATCGTCCCTGTTCAACAAGTTTCCAAGTGGACATGAAGCTTACAGGATCGGATAATTGGAGATCAAGTCTGGATATTTAATTCTGTCTTTAGAGATGTTATAAGTTGAGACAAGCTGCATGGAGTGAGCTGGATATTGCTATGTTTTTTTATTTGTCGTTACTGAAACAAAGTTGTTGACTTGACCAGCAGAATAAATGAAGCTGGTTATAAGCTGTGAATGAATTATGGATTTGTAACAAATCCAATTTTCAGAAGTCCTGTCCAGTGTTGCTTCAGGACCAGGTTGTATGTACTTCGAATATATTCATTATTCTGGCCATGAGAAACTCCTCTTCCAAAAACTATCATAGAATCAATTGCTTGATTTTGTAGAATCAAGTGCTTGAAAAAAAATAGTGCTGTTGAGTTCTGTTTTTTGCTTCTCTACAATCTCCACCACAGTCAAAGCCTCACTTGCATAAAGATACTTTGTCACTTTTTAAAAAAATAAGCAAACAGAAAAGGCAGCTGCAGCAAAATTCTTCTGTTGCTTTCCTTGTGCATGGGTGTGATGGTGTTTTGGAGGATGAATGCCACTGCATAGCACAAGGCATGAACAAACTGATCTCTGTGATGCTTGGATTTAAGTATCTGTTTTGACCAACTTGGTGGGAGGTGGGAAGTTGGGGGCAAACAACTGTCTGTTTCCTCATGAGTGGTATCAACTTTCTGGGTCATCATAACCACTCGTGAGTAGTTCTGTCAGTAAGGGGACGGGGTTGAGGAAAGGAAAATCTGAGATTTGTGATGCTGAACAGGAAGAGAGTTATTAAGTTTTAATTTAGAAGTCTTGTGTTTATGAAGATGTGGGTTTTTTTTATTTGTTTGTTTTGTTTTTCCTGCTAGTTTGCAATTACTCTCAACTTTGTTGCTTAGGTATGTAGCACATGGATAGGAAGTGGGGTTGTGAGTGACCTGAATGATCTCCGCCGAGTTCACAACCTTCTTGTCTCTTCCCTGGATAAAGTGCAAGCAGGAAAGGGATCTTCTAGTCAGCTTTACCGCGAGAGCGCAACTACTATGGAAAAACTTGCAGTGTTGAAAGCATGGGCAGAGGTAAACGTTTACCATTAAATGCTGACCATTGAGAAAAGATTTTGCAGCGGAATAGCAGCCTCCCACCTCACTGTCTGTTCAGCCAGTGAGCCTTACACCTGCCATCCTTCCTACTTGTTTTTCTTTATCTCTGTATGTATTCCTCTGTATGTCTTTCCCCATTCCTTTTTCTGCCATGCTTAGTTTTTCTGTCCTGTTTGTCCATATTTATAGTGGTGCCTGTTTGCTCTTTCTCATTACTGTGTTTTTGTGTATTAAGGTACTTGCCTTCTGTCAGATTTTTGTTTTTTTCTCTCATAAACTTAAGGAGAGTTTTGAAATATGGAACTATAGTATATTTTGTTTAACTAGCTAGGAAGTTTTCAAAGTGTTGGTGATAAATTATGGGCTTACTGTAGATGATAGGCAGTGTCTGGAATATCCAAAATCTTTTAGAAGTATCTACAGAAGGTGGAGTGAGCAATACTGATTTTGCCTTGCTTCTAAAATGTTACTTGTGTGCTATGTATAATTGCACAAATGACATTTTGTTTCTTTTAGTGCACTACTGTAAGGATTTTTCCATTACATTTTCTTGGAAATTACTTCTAAAATATGAAAAGAAAGTATTAACACCTTAGCTATTGTTAATCAGCCCATACTGTTATTTTCAGCTTTGATATGAAGTAGAACATCTGTTGTGTGAAGACATTTATTTCTATGCTATTCAGAGAAAAAGAAAAAAAAATCCGGCTGAATTTTCTGATATTTCTGGTTATTTCCATAATATGTATCTAAATGTTTGAAAATCCTTCCTTAGCCCCTCCTAGCATCTGCCAAAGACAGATTAATGTATTCATGTAGTCCATACTTGAAGCCATTTTCATTTTTCATCTTTTTTTTTTATTTAGTAACTCTTAACATAGGCCAGTAAATCTGTCTGTGCAGAGAAGAAGTAAAATTGATTATTGATTTTTTTTTTCTTTTTTTTCTTTATGGAAACGGTACATGCAGCCAGATTGTTTTAGGAAAGTGCTGTTTATGTGCCTAATTAATACATACTAATTGAAATAAAAGCAAAAATATTTAAATAAAATGTAATTGCAGTGCAGATTTCTCTCCTCTCTCTCTCTCCCTCCCTCCCTCCCTGCTGCTACCCCCCACTCATTTTCCAGATGATTTTCATGAAGTTTGCCACAAAACCCACAAAAAAAAAAAAAAAGCTTTTTGTGACATCCATGAACTGTGAATCATCTGTTTATTAAATCTGTTACTTTCACTGGGGGAGGCTGCTTTTTTCTGTCTGGCATCCATGAACTGTGAATCATCTGTTTATGAAATCTGTTACTTTGACTCGCTTTTTTCTGTCTGGTATTTTACAGCCTATATTTTCCTATCTGCCTTGCTCCTAGGTGTATGTTGTTGCCATGAAAATTAAGAAGGAAGCAGAGACCAAACCCAAGCGTGTTTCAAAGAGCGCAGATGACGACGACGACGATTTCGGTGCTGTGGATGAGCTGCCACCAGACAGCCTGATCACCCTTGTGCAGCCGGAGCTGCCCGCGCTCAGCCGCCTCTGGCTCGCTGCCCTCAGAGACTACGCTCTGCTCACCCTGCCACCGGAGTTTGCTACTCAGCTGCCGCCAGACGGTGAGAGCTCCAGTTCCTCTGGGGGCTGTCACAAAGGACAGAGTGAAACTCTTGCTCGAGACTTTATTTCTTTTCTATAAAGTATTCAGCAAAATTACTCTATTTTCTTCTTCTGTAAAAATGTGTGTATAATAACATACATGCTTGTTTTGAGTAGGAGGAGTGTTCTTTTTTTTTCCTGTGCTCTACAATGAAGATGCTTTTGCAGAAATAAGACTGCTTCAGTTACTTCTAATGCTTTGATGTTAAATGTAAAAAGATGTTGATGTTTATTAAATGAAAAGCATAGTTACCCTTGAGTAGATACTGCTTAATCTTAGTCAGCAGGGTACTGAATGTGTTCTGTATGAAGAGTGCTGCAAAACCTGATGTCTTTGCCTGCCCTCTTGCTCGCTTCTTACTGATCTAGGCTACCTATTGCAAGGGCTAGAGAATGTGGATACACTGTGTCAGTAATAAGGATTTCATATAAATACATACATGGTGGAATGCACACAGAGCAGATAGTAGAGTTTGTTCTTTTTGTCTATCATATGCAGAGAATTTCAGAATTTACCTTTGTTAATTTAACAGGGGGAGCATTTTACACTCCTGAGACAATTGACACAGCCAGACTGCATTATCGAAACTCCTGGGCTCCCATACTACATGCAGTGGCACTTTGGCTAAATAGCACAGGATTTAATGCTTCTGAGTCTACAGAAGAGGCTGCTGCAGCAATGCCCAATTCACAGAAACGTGCTACTTCTATAATGCTGAACCAGACACCTGGAACTCCGCCAACCACTAAAACTTTGCCAGAGATAAACAGAGATCGAATGCACTTAATTTTGGGTAAGAGTTATGAGTATCAAGTTCTGTACCAGCACATTTTCAGGAATAAGAAAAGATACTTTGTGTAAAATCTGGATGATTTAAAATGCAAATGCATTGCATATCTACTTGGGCACTAAAATTTGGAAATATCTCCGTCTCATTGTCTCTCTCTGCCTTCCATGTTTTTTCCAGCTTTGGCAGAATCTTTAACAGTGTGCTCACGGGATCTTTTTAGATAAACTAGTTCTCTATCTGGTGTATTTATATAATTGAAGACTATAATGAGTAGGTGCTGTCCTGTGCTGTAATAAAATTCAGATAACAGAAAATATTATCTATGGACTTGTGGTCTTTCAAAGACCCTAAAACCATAAGATTAATTAAAATACCCATGTTAACAGTCTCTACAGCTGTGCTTTCACTATTTGATAAATCATATAGACCAGCTTTTGCATCAGTAGCTTTTTTATTATTATTATTATTCTATTTCTCCTTATCTTTGGGTGGAGCTTCCTTTTCCATTTTGTTATCCAAAACTTTTAGTGGTGAATACAGTCAGATATTCTGAGGAATGCCAACAAATTACTCAGATATACAGATGTTTAAAAATGGATTTGTGTGCTGTGTGTATACCATGTTAGATGCTTTTTTGAAGCTTAACTTTATTGTGGTTATTTTTTTGTTTAAAAATGTTCAATAAAGGAAAACTCAATTGTCAGATTTATAATTTAAATCTATAGATGTTTAGTGCTTTAGAACACAGCACTGATTTGTTCAGTTGACTGGTTGTTGGTATGTACTTGTCTTCTTACCAAAATTTGGGGAAACAGGATGCAGAAGAGGAAATACTAGGACTGTATTCTCTTCTAATACATGGAAACTGTCTTTTCCTTTAGGGGAGAATGGAATTGGGAAAATACTTTTGTCTTTCTGAAGATATTAAGAACTTTCTGTATTTTAAATAAATTTTGAAAGAAAACTTTATATTTTAAATAAGAACATTTTTAGTTTTTGTGCTTTTCAGGTGTCAGCATACAGTTTCTCTGTTCCCCGCGACCTGAAGAGCCTGTTGAACATGTTACATCTTGCTTACAAGCACTTCATACTTTATTGGATTCACCTTGTGCTAGGATCCATATTGCCGAGGATCAGGTACTGTATTCAGTTCTTTCTCAGAGTGTGGTGTAACATTTAGCTGTCATAGGTCTTGATCTGTCATCTCTGATGCTTACAAAACCTGTAATTATTTTTGAGAGAAAAGTATTTGCTTATCATAAGCAAATTGTTAAGTTCTAATTAATTTAATAGATTTAATATGTGTCTTGTTTTTACTGTAGCTCCTTGGTGTTGAGCTCTTGAGTGTGCTTCACCGACTCCTCCTGACGTGGGATCCTCCTTCAGTCCAGCTCCTAGTTACAGGAGTTGTCCAGCAGATAGTAAGAGCAGCTCAAGATTATTTGCAGGAAAAAAGGAACACTCTAAGTAAGACTTTGAAAACATAGCTTGTTTTGCTGAGTAAATAAACAACAAGTTTTCTTATCGGGAAAGAGATTAAAATGTATTAGAGTATGCTGAGGAAAAAATGCTGTGTGTTTCACAGATTCTTCTGATATGTTCATAATCTCTCCTTCTAATTTCTTAACTCTCGGAATGGGAAGTTTTTCTTCTCCTCTTTATCCTAATAGTCATTCTCTTCATTTCATGGTTTTTATTAACTTTTCTTGAACATCGGTGACCAAAACTGTACCTCAGCAAACCAATAAGGTCTTACCAGTACTTTGCTCAGTTTTGGTAATTTTTCTGTCCTGACAGCATCCTAGCATTCCCAAGTTTAGTTGTTCAGTCCCACAGAGGGTCCTGTAGTGTGTCCTTTGCAGAACGGGCATTCCTAAGGGGAGCTGTTACTGGAACCAATAGAGAGTGCAAAAAGGTGACTGCCACCCAGCAGAACAAGCAGGGAAGTGGCACAGGCTCATGTCTGACCTCTTTCTTAACTCGCATTTAGGGAGTGTCTGCAAACAGGAGTTCTGGGAACAGCGTGTGCAACCAAGAGCCAGGCAATTGGCTGGGAAGGGAGTGCTCATGGGGCCCCGAGGTGCTGCTCAAGCTTGTACAGGCTGCCAGAGGGAGCCCAGTGAGTGATGGCAGTGACATGTGGCAGTGCCCTGTGTGAGCAGGGGCAGTCACCTCTAGCACACAGAGGCCTAGCGAGTCGGAGACCTGGCTTACGGCCCGGGTGAAGCTCCTGAGGTGACCGTCGTCCGCTTGCTGCTCCTTGCAGCCAGGGTTGGGGTGACAGTGGTCTCACCCGTGGGGCATGAAGGTAATACACACAGCAGTGAACAAATGGTTTAACGTCAGGGAAGGCAAAAGGGAGAATGACACATGTGGGGGCAGCAACCTAAATTCTGCACGTGAGAGGAGGGAGGGATAGCCAGAGACTATGCTGAAATAGGGGGAACACGAAGCTTCCATCAGGGTGGAGGTTGCAAGCTTTTGACTTCTAGAAATAAGTCTCCATTTCTAGATGCTTGGCTGGATGAATTAGGTTGAAATATGGTTTTGTTAGGGTGGGACATTAGTTAATAGCTGTTTAAATTAAGAAATATTGCCATGAGTGTTTATTTGGCAAATATTGCTGTTACTTTTGCCATTAGATTTAAAAGAAGGCAGAATAATTGCAGCGTTTTTATTTTGGCATTATTTTTTCATAGTTCTAAATGGATTTAAATATTCTGTTGCAATCACAATATTTCTAAAGCATTTAAAGCTCCTTTAGGTCATTCTAACTGGAGCATCTACTTTAACATGAGCCATGTCTGTCATAGCTAACTGTGCAGCAGCTTTTTTTCATGACTTTTCATCTTTTGGGGGGATATTTCATGTAGTGGTTTTTGTTTCTTTTTGAGCTGTCTGCTCAGGCATTCCTTTCCTGTTTTTTCAGATGAAGATGACACTGAGGATAAAGAAAATTGCCTTCCTTTAGGAGAGGGCGGTGAAAGTGGTGGTCTGGTGCCTGGAAAATCTTTAGTCTTTGCAGCCATGGAACTGCTCATGTTTATCCTAGTACGGCACATGCCACATCTAAGTTCTAAAGTGTCAGATTCTCCAAGTCACCTCTCTGCCAAATCTCATCTCTCTGAGGAAAGTGCTCGTCTTGTAGCTGCCACTGTTACTATACTGTCTGACCTGCCTTCTCTGTGTTCTCCAGCAGGTAAAGTACTGTGACAAAATACATATGAATGGCTATTCTAGGGGAAGTATAGCAAGCATATAATGCTAAAAGCAAACTGGCTAACTATCTGTGTATTGCAGACTACTTTAAAGGCCATGTGGTGAAAGTGGTATTTAGGTTTAACTAAAAACTGAAACTTTTCTAGTGAACCAACATAAAGAAAACATACATGGTTTTAAGTTTACATGTGTGCTCTGCTTTTATCCAATTTTGCTAAAGAAATGAAGCATATTCCATTGTTACTTTGTTTTTCTCCATTTTTGCCTGTCATTTTTGAAACCTTGCAGACAGATGTAATCATATTGTAAAAGAAGATGTATATCTCAGAGGTAATGGAATTTACAGAGAAGTTCATGAAAAGCAGCAAGTGGCTAAAGAAGAGAATCCCATTCAGGAAAAGGTTACCACAGTTCAGTTGTGGTATGCTTTGCTTTGCAGCCACTGGCTCTCAGTCATGCCAAATACAAGCCTAGGCTAAACACACTTCCCTTCTGCCTTGGGAGACTGCAACATATTTAGACAAAATCATCCTTAGAAAAGCATATCGACTCTTCAAACAAGCAATTCGTGCCTACAGTTCATGGTAAAACTTAGCAAACTTTGAGCTGGTCTAGAGTCCTGCTGTGTTTTATATTTGATTCCTGGTTCTTTTTTCCTTCTTCTTTTTGAGCAAGAAGAGTAACTACACTACTTCTGTGTTGAGTGGGATGAAGATGTGACTCCCAACACATGGGATTGACCAGAAAAAAGAGCAAAGTCTGAAGAGACTGTTAGAGTTAGGTCTTTTTTCACCCAGAAGATGTAGCCAGCTGATTGCTGTAGGGGTGGGGGTAGTGTATGCACAAATGCTTTTATTGAATCTTTGAATGTACAGGAAACTTTGATCAAGGAGAGTGAATCACTTTATGAGACTAAGTGGTTTCTTTGCTTCCTCTTTCTGCTTTTCCACTTGATCTCTTTTGATCTCACCTGGCCAAGGAGCTGGGCAATTTGACCTAGAGGCTTTGTTTTGACCAGGGATTTGGACTATATCTCCAGCAGTCCCTTCCAGCCATAATGATTCTTCAGTTCTCCTGAGTGTGTTTTATCCTCAAAACATTCCCAGAAGTAGAACAGTGGGGTTTGAGTTACCATGAACATAGAAAACGAGAAGATTCAGACATGTAAAATGACCTGTCTGAAATGACCTGCAGATTGGCAATAAGCACTTAAACCCAACAGCACCCTTCTTTCAGTCCTACAGGTGCTACAAGTCTGCATGCGCTAATGAGGCTCATTTAATAAAGTGTGTGTCTAAAGTCAGCTTGCCCAGCACTACCTGAGTTGCTTGATCTGTGCCTAGCTTGTACCTGCAGGACTGGCTGGATAGCTGTCGATTTCTTCAGGGGGAAAAAAACAAGGCTGTAGGAGGAGGATTCTTTTGTTATCTCCTGCATAGATAGCCACAGGGTTGTACCTTTTCTCTAGGATGAGAGACCTACATTAACTTCCCTGCTTTGCTTCAGGGGCTTTAAACACACATCTGCTTTGTAAGATGGAGCCCTATCTTGGCTGGCATACCTGTTTTCACAGCTATTTATATATATAAAATATATATATATATATAGTCTGACTCTCTCTGTATATACAAATACACTACATATAGTTTGTTTATGAGACTGCGTCCGTATGCAGATCCTATTTTAAGGTATTTAGGTACTTACCACTCTGGATGTGTTCAATAGGGAGAGCTTATTTCCCCTACAAAGCATCACAGCTCTCAGTGCTGTAGTAACTTCTCTGAACTGGTTTGTGACTGAGTCAGGGCCCAGGGAGCAAAGCTCGATTCTATTGTCTTGTAACTTTTTCAAAGTGCTGAAGCAATCTTTCTTGGACAAAATCATGCCATGTTTCATGTGTCATGTAGGGCAAGACTTTTAAATGCTGAATGTCATTCCTGAGTAGATTTTAATTGTTGGTTTGTATGACTGCTTATTATATACTTGACTACTACTGATAATTGAGTTTGTTTTTAAAATATTGAACTGCATATATCACTTGCTGACTGAATTAGTTTATCTCTGTGTATCTTTTGTTAGCCGTATATATAACCTAAAGATGTTGGAATGCTTGCTGGAATTAACTTCAGAGAATGTACTCTGTCTTGTTCTAGGCTGCATGACGATCTTACCCACTATCCTGTTTTTGATTACAAGAGTACTGAAAGAAACAGCAGTAAAATCAGCAGATAATCAGGTCCCACCTCCAGTCAGTGCAGCCCTTCAAGGGATAAAAACTATTGTTACGCTGCCAACGGTCAAGACCGATGAAACTCAAAAGCAATGGACAGGTCTGATCCGCAGCACTCTGGCATCTATCTTGGAATACTCTCAGCCTGGTAAGCAGTTACCCAGGGTGGAAAAGTTAAAATGAGAGAGCTGGAGTTTGCATTAGTGAAAAGGAAGGGACTTGTTTCTGGAACTTAGGGGTCTGTATCTCTCAGATATCCTGTATCTCAACATCTGCTGAATGTCTCAAAATCTGTATGAGTTCCAAGCTAAAATCATTTCACTTCCTAGACTATGCAGCAATTTCTGTGGGTACTGGACACTGTAGACTACTTTGCAAGGCCAGTACAATCTGTTCTATCCCTTCTTTCCTCTTTTGGAAGAATATCTGCTAGCTTGGAGGGAAGGATATGTTGAATTGCTAAAGTAGTGTTTATAAAGGAACTGATCTCCTAACTGAAGCTGTAATTGTTCAGCATGGTACATCAGTTCAATACATTGAATTAAACCTCAAGAGAAAGGGCAATCAGTGTATCTTTTAAGTGTTGGCTGATAGGATTCCTATTGTCTTCATGACAGTATTAAAGTGAATGAATGTGAAAACAGCAAGGGATAACTGTGGCAAGGCTCCTGCTGGAGTAGGATATTCACAGTACTGTTACAAGGTTCCAGTGGTGCCAGAAAGCTCTTACCCACCAGCAGGATGTCTGCTGTGGCTCTGCAGAGAACTACAGGCTGCTTCTGTTGGTTCATGTTTCCACTTTGCCTTGTACAAGAAAAGCAAAAAAGCTGGACGGTCTCAGCCGTATAGATGAGAAGAGAGAGGCAGAAAGACTTGTCATCGACAGAGCAAGAGTTCAGCTAAAGCCTTCCCGTGGCATCCCCCAGCAGCTGTTTGTACAGATTGGAGAGAGGCCTGAATGGAGTTTCTCGTGGGAGGTAGAGGGAGCGAGTAGGTAATTGCAAAAATCCCTGAAAATGGGGGAAGAGGAAGAGTCGGGGATTTGTGTTATCCAAGTCAAAATTCTGTTTTGATCCGTTGCATCAGCTCTTGTTTTCCGACCTTCTATTATCCTAAAGGCCTCCCAGCCTCTTTCCTGAAATGTGACTGTCTGCATTTAGGCTTTTTGGAGACTTCAGAAACCTTTGTCATTCCCTTGCAAGAGCATGTATCTGCCTTTTCACCTTGAATGTACCATACACTGGGACATATCACATAGACAAGAATCTAAGCACAATGTACTGCATGTGCTTGGTCACCTATAGCACTAGGGGTCATTCCTGAACTGAGGTGTGGCAACAAGGCTAAGCCAATCTAATGACTGGCTGACACCTATGAAAGGAAGTCCTGCTGTTTTTTCCTGCTGCTGGCTGTACATTTCTGTTGTTTGCTCTCCTTTGCGAGCTAACAAAAAGAGAATCAATGGAGTCAACAAAAATAGCAGAAAACTACCTAAACTTGTTGGTTATTTTTGGTGTTGGTGTAGCTTCATGAATGAGATTCAGGAAGACAGAGCGGGTGCAAGGGGAAAAAAAAGGTGGTGCAGACAAATACAGATCAATTTGAAAAGGAGGGATAGCTAAGGTGGTACTGCACTTGGTTGTGCAGCTGTTTGATCAGCTTGTCAGTTATGTGAAATCTCATCCGAAGTGAAAACTATTACCATGTTAGATTTCAATCACTTATTCTACTGTACAAACTGCAGAGATTAATATATGTATGTAATATATATAAAATATATAGCACCTATATTTTTAATGGGGAAATGAATTTTAAAATATGCCCTTTTTTCCCTATTGTTTATACACTGAAAATGAAAAATACGACTTCATCAGAGAAGGTGTTGATGATGTTTTGGCTTGATATTTAGGTTTCAGAAAGCTTGATTTGCTTTGTTAAATAAATAGCTATTAGAACAAAAATATTCAACCTTAATTGTCATTCACAGTCATTAAATGACTTGGTGATGAGTATATGTATAATTTGTATGAAGCTCTAAGTCATTTCAAGTAAATTTATTTCCTGTCTGTGAATTTATTCACTGGGTTTTGCTAAACAAATTTAAACCTTTTTCAGAGTAAGCTTACAGCCTTTTTTTTGGTTTGTTTTTCAGAAACCTCTAAACCAGTTCTCGATGAAGTAAGCATGCTTACTGCTATTGCTCTCTTTCTCTGGTCAGCAAGCAGTGAAATAATTGGAGTACAGTCTTTACAAAATGGATGTATGAACAGATTTAAAAATGCATTGAATTCCTGCGATCCTTGGGTAAGCTTATGATAGAGGAGCGTGAATGATGCATGCCTGTGAATAGATCGTTGTGATATATTTACTGTGTTCCCTGAATTTTTTGTTATTTACTTGAGAGGCAATAGGATACTGATTGCCAAAATAAATAGGATTTTCATGAGTGTGTTACAGAAATGCTTAACAAACAATGCAAATAGGTGCCTCTGTATGTCTGTTCTTGGCCATGCCAAGATTCTTGACTCTTGGTCTTTTAAAAAGAAAAACTATCTTTGTTAATATACGAAATTTATTTGCCAAACAATGGTGACATTTCTACATTCATTATAACTTCTTATAAGAAGACTGAACTTCTTTTTCTGCAGGTAAAGCTACAGACCAAATTCCTTTTTTTTGTTTGTGCAAAGCCTGTGATTATTTTGTGTTCATACAAAATCCTGTTTCAAACCAATGCTAAAATTCAGCCTTTATCAGAACCTTTACAGATTATTATACTGAATTCACTTCTGTCCTTTGGTTTGTCATTATGAATTATCTTCAGAATTAATTCCTTACTAAAGAGAGAAATTAAAGTTATAGCCTGACTTTGTTTACTCAGGCTAATGTACTGTGTAGTTATGCTTAACTGTTTGAGCCATTTATAAATTCATTTGTTTGAAGGGATATACAAATCTGCAGGTGGGATCTAAAAAATCAAGTATTTCCACAAGCAGATACTACAGAGATTCCTTGGAAGAAAAATATGCAGAAAATGCTGATGTATTTAGGATCACGTTGAGGGAGTTGGAACCCTGTTTAGATTAAGAATTCTTCTCTGCAGCAGGCTGCCTTTCTGCAGCGTGGACATAAAGCCCAGTTCTTTGCTAAAGCCTCATGTGTGGTGGAAAGCTGCCTCTCAGATTTTTTAGTGCATGAATGGAAGCGTCAGTTGTATCAAACAGAGGCCTTTACGTCTTTCTCCCTCTCCGCTTTGTATAAGCACCTAAAACGGTGCTTATAATCTTCCAGTAGGAGTACATAGGAGTAACTAGGAGTACATTTCCACCCTGCTGGAAAGCTGTGAGTGAGCTGGAGCTTGGCGCTATTTTTGTAGTTCACAGAGAAGGCTTTGATAGCAGCCAGGCTTTGTCCACTCTTCTTTGCTCCCTGATAAGCAGAACATACAGTCTGCGATACTTGTTTGTTTTATCTTATATTTTTTAATATAAAACATATGTTTTGAGGCAGTAGCTAGATACCTATTTGTAACAGAAACACTGCATATGGAAAAAGAATCCTAAAGAATTATTACTTCCTCATAAGCCATAGCAAGGGTGTGTCTGAAACTGATGATCTACAACAAAAGCCTTGCAAGGTTTACTGCAGTGTTGCCCTATCCTGAAGACTGTGGTAAATGCAGGAAGGCTAACATGAACGCAGGGTTATTTTGCCCCTCTTGTGCAAGTGATTCCTAGAACCGCAGGATCTCAGTTGAGACATCCTTGTCTCTAAGTCTTTACAGAAATGTGACACTTTAATGGGAAGGGAAAGAAAGAGAACAATTTGGAGAAGTGCAAAGACTTATAGGAATAACTTGTTGGAACAGACCAAAGGTGATGCTATGACATGAGAAGAACGCTCTGCCATGGAGCTGCGTTAGAAAGTATAGAAAAAGTATTAGCAGGTCTTAAACGTTTAACTGTATAGAGCACTTGCAGTCTTAAAGTGCAAGCAGAACTGCATAGCTTGTTAATAACCTTATTACTCATTTTATTCTTTATTTATAAATATACTTTTAGTCATCCTCCGATCTCCTCACAGATCATTGTGTTCAATAATACTTCCTCTAATACATTTCTGTTCAGAACATGCTTGCTAACTCAGCCAGTTTTGATAAAGAGTGCAGTTTACAAACATGCAACATTTCGTCCTGGTATTTGTTGGGGCTGTCAAATATTCCAGGATATTTGGGGGCACTTTGGTGAAAGTTTTGTTTTGTGTTTTGTTTTGCTTTTGTTTGCTTTGTTTTCTTTGCTTGGTTTTCTTAATCCAAGTCAAATCCATTCATAAGTTTGACTGTCAGTGAGTCATTTTCATAAACATTAAATTTTATTCTCCAATTAGAGTGAAAAGGGTGAGGGAGGAAAAAAAAATTAAGGAAAGGAGGGGGCTTTTCAATCCACATCACTCTGTGGCTATGCATAGACTCCTTACACTACTATCAGCACAAGGGAAAATTAGAAAGGACAGACAGGCCTGCTGCTGCTTTTGGCAGTTTTGACTGATGCTAAGCAACAAGGTCACTTAACTTTGGTTAGAATCCTCTTTTTATGGATCACTTCACCCTTCTGGCTGGAAAAGCATTTTGTGATTTTTGCAGATAATTCTAGTATTGATCCTGGTAGTTCTAAGGCTTTAAGGACCTAGTTCTCTGTGGAGTTGTGTGACTGAGCTGTATGTCATCAAGTTCTTTTCTTTCCTTCCAAGTTCATGTAGCTACTGGCCCCTTATTACCCACATGTTCTTTCTAACTGGCTTCCCCTTCCTTTGCATTGAAAACTGAATTAAAATTTTAGCAGATAAACTGTCCTGCATTGCTTTCTTCTTACTCAGTGTGTTTTCCTCCCCTTCGGCCCTTTTTTTTATATTGCCTGTATCTCACTCACCTACTAGATAGTGGATTTGATTAGAATTCCCTCAGTTAACAAATAACTTTCAGGACAATGTATCTATTTTGCTTTGATTAGGTTCAAGCCAAGTGTTATCAGCTTCTGCTTTCTGTATTCCAACATACCAATCGTGCCCTGTCAACTCCATACATCCACTCTCTGGCACCTATAATGGTTGAGAAACTGAAAGCTGTTGAAAGGAACCGGCCAAACAACAACACGGAGCTGTTGGCAGTGCAGGAAGGAATCAAAGTTCTTGAAACACTGGTTGCCCTTGGCGAGGAGCAGAACAGTAAGTATTCAGTTTCTTAAAGCACCTGTAATTCCAAAATAAAATGTTGGATACTAGAGATACTGCAGTTAGGAACTTGATGGCATATGCACAAATGGGTGCCATCTAGGCAACCTCCTGTGGCATTTGCATTACTAGGACTTTTGCATTCATGGCCTAGTAGAACATGGTAAGATATTCTGTAATATTCAGACTTCATGGGTTTGCAAAGTAAAAACTTATAAACACGAACTGCAGTGGTGGTGTTTTGTGCTTGGATGAGTTCATATCTCTTAAATTTACTTATTACTATCTTCTATTCATTTTAGCAGACTCACCACTGTTTTGTCCAGTTGGCTCTACAATCTCAGCAGAGTATATCTGAAAAGATCCCTACACTGAGTTTTACTGTTTGGGGTATCTAGATCCTAGATAGAGCCTTCTATTTGCAGCAGAAGAGAAGAGAGTTTAGTTACAGAATAAGTGAAATAATGCATCATTTAAGGATTGATTCTGCAGACACTTTGGTTCAAAGGTTAAGTTAAACATAAAAATAATGCCAGTCTCCCCCGCCCCCTCCCAGTGTATTGCTCTGCATTGATGATAAAATGCCAAACTTGTTTTCTTAACTGCTGTTCTTTCGCACGGTTGTTTCAAGCTCCTATAGAATGGGGGATTAACTGAAATGCATGAGGCAACAACACTGCATTGTTAATAATGGCTGGAGTCAGTCACCTTACATGAATGTATAAGTTTTTGGTCAAAATCCTTAAGGGAAAAATATTAATATTCAGATAACCAACAAGATTTTAAATACATGAGTTGGCATAAATGTCAAATTTCTTTGAACTTAGAATTTACTGATTAACATGTTATATGCTTTGAAAACAGCCATTGCTAGATCAAAAAATAGCACCAGTGCTTAAAGTTAGTTGTTTGTTTTATTCTGAACATACCATTACACCTGTGCCACGTTGGGCTCTGGTCTCAGTAGGTTGATTCTAACTCAGTGTAGTTGTGTCATCAGTTTTTAGATGGGGAAGCTTGCAAGGTGGAGTGTTATAGCAGGTAACTGTCCCTGTATTTTTAGCAAACTCGATCCTAGTGATCTGATTGGGTGACCCAAGGAAATGAAGCCATCTTCATTTTAAATGTTTTAGATTTGATATTTTTTAATTTCAGCTTTTATTCATCAGTCCTGAAAATGAAACTCTCAGACGACTAACTGATGCAATTAAATTTATTTTGTTTCCTTTTCTAACGTGGTGGCTCTGTTGTGTTTCCCTTTTGCTTTTAGGAGTCCAGTTGCTTGCCCTTCTGGTTCCCACTCTGATCTCCTATTTACTGAATGAAAATGCCTTTGCTTCTGCATCGCCGGCATCTAAGGATCTTCATGAGTTTGCACTTCAGAATCTAATGCACATTGGGCCACTTTACCCACATGCTTTCAAGACAGTAATGGGAGCTGCTCCTGAATTGAAAACACGTCTAGAAACTGCAGTCCGAGCAAGCCAGGCCAGCAAAGCAAAAGCAGCTGCTAGGCAACCGCCACCCACAGTACATTCCACCCCAACAATTAAACTCAAAACTAGCTTTTTTTGAATTACTTTTATTATTTTTGGACCATTAAAGAGTCAGAAGCATTATATTATTCCTGATGTGTTACTGCATATGTCTGTAATTTTGTGTAATTTGTATGTGAAAAGTTGTCTAATGGAGCTTGTGTAAATCTGTGCATTACAAGGGAAGTGGTGTTGCTAGTATTTGTATAGATTTTTAAGAACTTGAATGTGATCATATTTATGAATTTGTGTTACAAGTATGAACCAAAAAAAGTATTCTCTATCTTACTAAATTGTTTTATTTATTTTTAAAAGTTACTCTCAGTCTTTCTGAATGGTTTTTGAAATCTAGCAAATGTTACCCTACCATTGTGCTCACATACTAAAACAGCGCGGGGTGTAGGGAGGAGAACCTGTTATGCAGTATTTATCACATATCATGGGGAATTTCAAGTGTAGAAGGATGCACTTTTTTGTTTTTCAAAAGAAAAGTGGGGTAAGGGCTTGTCACATTTTGTAGATAACCTCAGCTTGCATGAGAAAGAGGGGAGAAAAAAAATTCAGTCTTTTTCAAGCATGCTCTTATAATGAGATGTCCTTATTTTTGTGGTGTATTTCTTTCAGCTCCATTTCCATGCTTGAAAATTAATAAAGGTTCAAAGAATCTTGCTCCCTATCTCTCCTAAGCTAAATTAAGAAAACAAACCAAAACCAAACAAAACAAAACACAGTGGAAATTGAGTTTGCCAGCTACCTGCATTTTAATAGCTATAGTTGTCATGGGTAAGCAGTCTTCCTGTTCTGCCAGACATGCGTGAAATGTGGTGGTTCTGTGCTCTGCTCTTTGCCTGGATTCCTAGGTATCTGCTTCTTCCTGCCATATTTAGTCTCATTAGCTATATCAAATCTCCAGGCCTTGGTAAAGTTTGAGATCCAAGTGACTTGACTGTCTTTTGCATCCATACCGAAGGAGCAGGAACACAAGTGGGAGCCAGGAACTCCCAGTTTCTCTTTCCATTGCCAGGATTTTCTTTGTTGAAAAGCACTTCACTCCCTTCACATGTGAGTGAGTTTGGTTAATTTGGGGATTTGGGACCTTAAGTGAGAGCTCAAGGGCCAAGTTAACCTTAGAGCCTGTGGCTCCTGTTCAGTCACGTCTGTTGTCTTCTGCCAGGCCTTGCCCTTCCTAGGGGCAGTGCTGCAGACCCATGTATTCTTACTTAGACTTAACATATAGAGGTTTTTTTTTTTTTTTAAGATACCCTTGTCAAATTTCTAGGCTGCCACAGAAATCTTTCTACGCATCTCTGTTTAATATTGAAAGCCACATTAACTAGAAGCCTAGGGTAGGAGTATACAGTGCACTTTGATTTCATCTCTGATGTTTTTTCTCATATGTATATAACAGGGTAAAAACCATGTTTTGGAAGTTTCTACTTCAACTCAAATCCAAAAAAGGGATACTCATTGGAACCGAATATGATTTTAAATCATATTGGTTGAAATATTTGTAGATGATCATTTTTGTATAGACACTTGCCTCTAAATCTTGTTTCCTGTAAGAGTTTTGTGTTGTCCTTTGAGCACTTCTGCTCACTTTTGCCTGTTTGAAGGCTGCAAAATATTTCTCATACAAACAACTAGAAAAGGTCTTAGTTCAGAGCAAATCTAAAGTTAGGTCAACGGTGGTGGAAATGCTAATCTCTCAAATTGGTTTTGTAAACATGTGTATCTTAATTTTCCAGTCTTGTTTCACTGTCAGCTGGACTAAAGACACAATACACAAGGAGGAAGGTAATTTCAATATTCATGTTCCTCTGTAGTAAGAATTGATTAAAATGTATTACTTCGTTAATACCTGTTTTAAAATAAATATTACAGAGCTGTTTTGCTCCAAGTTCCAAAGCTTGTTTAATGTTTGAGGAAAAAGTTCAGCTGAAGTATCAGGGAAACCTTTTCTAGATAAAAAGTTGAACACAGTTTTTTTTCTCTCAAGTAAAATGGGAAACAAACAAACAAAAAGCCCCTCACAATCTCATAACCCTTCTCAGATCTCTTTTTTTTTCCCCTAGATAGTCTAGTCCTTGGTGACTCTTGAATGTTTGTTATAGACTTTTCATCTGTGATCAGTTTTATTTACCTTAATTATTTTGTGTCCCAGCACTTTCACCTTCTGGTTTGACTCTGTTTGACAAGATGGCTGAAAATGTGATTGTGGGGTGGGGGTGAGCGAGGAAGGCCAAGTGCTCCAGCAGAGCATCACTAGGAGGGCTGGAGAATAGTAGTAACGACGCCAGTGAAAACAGGGATAGACGGATGCAGAGGGATACTGAAAGGAAGAGTTTTCCTCTGTGTGTGCTGCGTGGCAGTATGCAAAGTGCCAGACTTTCATTTGTATCCTGGCTTTTCCAGTCTGCATTTGCTTTTGTTGCTCTGGATACTAAAAACATGACTGTGTGGTTTTACATAATATTTTGGCATAAAACTTCATTTGATTAAAAAAAAATTAATGCGAAATGCCCGTAAATGCTTATTTGTTCTCTCTCTTCTTTTGTCCGCATCCCTCTCCTGTGTTTCTTTGGCCTGTTTCGGTGTGTTTTTTTCTTGTGAAGCTATTGCTCTGTTTCCCCTTGAAGTCTTTCCTCTTCTCTCCCCTATTTCCTTCCTTTCTTAACGAGCCCTGTTGTTTTTCAGTGCTCTGCTGCTGTGTTTCCCCCAGATTGCATTTCCTGTTCGGTGCTCTGATGGTTTACTGCTCTTCTCTTGACTTTTATTATTTATTTCTGCTTTCCCTAAGCCTCATGGGTTGTATTTTTCTGCTGAAGGTGGTGCAGGGCCCGTCCTTGGGCTGCAGCTGGGGATGAAGCGCACGAGCGCGCCCGGCGCAGTGACAAGCAGCGGAAAGGGCCACCCGAGCGCACGGCCCCGCACGGATCCCTGCTCCGTGATCCCGTTACACTGAGTTGGACTGAATGGCTGGAGGAAAAAAAAAAAGAAAGAAAAGCCTGGGTAGAGGCGCTGTTAGCGCGGGACAGGGCACTGCCGCTGCCAACAGGACATCTTGCTGCAGCCCCAGCATGGGTGCAGGGCGCGCATGTCCTTCACCCCTCCAGGGTGGGCCGCGAGGATGCCAAAGCCCTTTAAATCCTCCTTGGAGAGGGGGATTAATAATAATCCCGGGGGAGATTCCCACAGCCTCCCGCGGGGCG